GTCTGGGGACCGCGGCTCTCTGGGCCTCACAGGCCTGTGTCGCTCTCCACCTGGCCTGTTGCAGGTCACCTCTCTGGTCTGTCTCAGCCAGAGGCTCAGGGACTGCTGTGCCCCTTCCTGGCCTCTGTCTTGGGAGTGCCCTTCTCTTGGGCACCCTGTCCTGCAATTTCTAGCTGCTGCCTGCTCCCAGGGACCTCTTTGTCTCTTTGAATTCATGAGACCTCGGGGCTCTGTCCAGGCCTCTAACTGTGGTTTGGAAACTGCTTTTCTCAGAGACTGTGGTAAGCTCAGGACACCAGCTGCCCTCCTGCCTGTCCAGCACCAGGAAATGCTTCTTCCATCCGGTTCGTCCAGTTCAGACAGCTCCGCGGCAGGCAGGGGAGCTCCCGTTTCCTTCTCTATAGCGGCCGCTGCCCTCCCCGCCTGGCCTCCACCCTGACGCTGCTGGACCCCGCTGCCCCCTTGCACTAATCCCACCTCCGACACGACGGCGGCACTGGCTCCTCTTACCGCTCAGGGCGTCAAAAACAGAGACAGGATTTGAGAAGAGAGCAAAGCGTTCTGTAGAAGCTGTTATTTGGCCTCCGGCTCTTTTCAGGAGCCATATTTTGAATTTCTTTCTTTTAAAAAATATCCTGAATTTCTGATTACTTCAAAATTATTGTTTTACCATTTTTWAAAAATTTGTGTTGCTGGGGTAGAGCCCAGGGCCTTGTGCATGCTAGACCCCGGAGCCATATCCCAGCCCTTCCTTTATCTCTTCATATGATTGTTTGCATCCGAGAACATAAAGAAATCCATCTTGATCATCTTTCTTGAGTCCAGGCCCCCCRCCTGCTTTCTTCACGGAACACTGTGCGTTGCTCTGTTGGAATCCCCTGGGCAGCTGCACCCCTCTCCTAAGGCCAGTGGAGGAGAGAACCCAGACTCGCTTGAGTGCTCTTCTGGTGGTCCCAGCTGTCCAGTGAAGGGTGGAGGACTCTCCAGTGCACACAGGTGGCTGCTCCTGCCTGCGGAGGCTGACCTTGACCTAATGGCTGTCCTAAGGGAGGGTGTGAACGGTMGTCCATTTCATAGATGAGAAAACAGATTTGGAGAGTTCACAAACTCACCTGGGTCGCAGAGTAGCTGCCAGACTGGGCTTGCCTCAGCGTTTTCTAGCTGAATGGCAGTACCCAGCCACGCGGCCAGATCTGACCCCCACCTGAGCCTGCAAGTGACCTCTCCCCTGGTCCTGGTGCCCACAGCCCCACAGAGGTGCCCCAGCTCACATCCTGGTCCAGGCCCTGGCAGTCACCCTCAGCATTCTCTGGGGATGGTCCAGGCCCTGTGGACACTGAAGTCCTGGGGTGCCCCAGCCCCTGGTGTACAACAGCGYAGTATTTGCACATAACCCACTTTTCCTCTGTCTGCTCCAGATCACCCAGGGGACTCACAGGACCTTCCCAAGTGTGACGCCGAGGGGATGGCACAGCTCCTTAGACACCTGCGCTGACCTCACACTGACCTGGTGCTGACCTGCCTGTGTAGAGCTCAGCCCCCCAGGGGCACGGGTTGATCACCCTGTCCTCTATGGGTTGATCACCCTGTCCTCTATGTACTGTGCTCGCTCCCTGTGGCTGCACACAAGGACAGAGGCAGGGAATGTATCGTCTCAGGTCCTGGAGGCTGAAAGCCAGGTCCAGGTGCCTCAGGGCTGGTTTCTTCTGACCCCTCTCTCCTTCCTTACAGAGGCCCTCTCCAGTGTCCCCACAGGGTGGGCCCTCTCTGTGTGCTGTGTCCTATTTACTCTTCTTAGAAGGAGTGCAGCAGGGGGTGGGCCCACTCTGATAGCCCTTTTGAACTTAATCACTTCTTGAGACCCCCTGTGGCCAAGCACAGTGCCAGGTTTGGCCTTCAAGGTCTTCAGGGGACACAATGTGCCCCCGAACTGAACTGGTCTCAGCAGCTTCTGGGGGCGACCTGGGTTCCTCCCAGCCACTGTGGGGACCCTGGGGTGTCTCCAGCTTTCCAGCTGTATGCTCATACGGTCACTTTCCTTTCCTTTGACCTCTGGGCAGAATTGTCTGCCCCTTTAATTTGGGGAGGGGACACAGCCATAGCATGGGCCAACGTGAATCCTGCCTAAACATCTCGAATTTGGTTCTAAAATCAGACTCACTTTGGTGCAAAAGCATATTGGCCTTTTCTTCTCAGGACAACTATTTCTGGGGTCCAGGCCTGGATTGGTGGCCTCAGGCCTGGCCTTGAGCTCTTCGTTGTCACAGGGTGCATCCTGGAGAGCAGGCACTGGCTCTGCTGTCCAGCCAAGGCCGGCTCCACCTCCACCTCCATCTCCATCCACCTCTGCCTCCTCCTYTGGCTCCTCCTCTGCCTCCTCCTCCTCTAGTTTCTCCCCCACTTTCCGTCTTTCCAGAGCCAGGCAAGGGGTGGGCATATGATGCCACAAGTGTCTAAGAACCGGTCCCAGCCACCCAGCCTCGGGGTGCCCATCCCGCCCAGGCTGGTGTCCTCCAGCGTACAGGTGCAGGAGTCAAAAGGAGAATGTGGGTGGTGACAGGCTGGTGTGTCCATGGTGACCCGTCCATTCCCAGATGGTGCCAGCAGGGGTCACACGAGGCTCAGAAACACGGAGGGCTGACCCAGGAAGAGGAAAGAGTGAAGCCCGCCAAGGAGCCTCCCCGCCATGCCCCTCATTAGGTCTTGGGGTGGAAACTTGCAGGGTGAAGCCGGCACAGGTGCCACCTCTGCCCCTCTCCAGCGCAGGCTGGCTCAGGACTCAGCTTTGTCAYAAGTCACTCCTTCTGGAAGGCCAAAATGACCCAACTTGGTCTGGCTAGACCACGTGGAAGATAAAGGAAAAGTGTTTCCTGCACACTGCACCCCGAGAGCTGGAACCCCAGCCGTCCCCTTCCCCTGGCGAACCAGGCCAGCAGCACCCACGCCAGGATCATCCCTGGAACCAGACAGRGACTGGGAACCCTAAGCCTCACCCTGGAGATGAGTCCAGGTACACAGTACAGGCCAGCCTGTGCTGGGACTGTGGCTTACTGTGCCCACTTGATGTGCTCTGTGCCTGTGTCACTGCTGGTRGGTGTGGCAGCAGGTCCAGGAAAGGCCCCCTGGGGACAGCGGCTGTCCTCCACACCCTGCTGGAGGGAGGAGAGCTGTCCCAGAGCTGGGGCAGGATGGCTTCCTAGCAGGAGGGTCCCCTGCCTGCCCTCACAGGGAGCCCACTGTTTCCTGCCAGGACCTGCCGGGCGCCTGCGGGGTTGCAGAGTAGACCTGGGTGCACCACAGAGGGCTGCCCTTGGGCCTTGCTCTCTGCTGCCGTGACAGCCCCAGACGTCCTTATGTTTGGATGCAGAAAAAATAAGTCATTAGTAAAACAAAACGGGGCCAACAGGCGTAGGGTTCCCTCAGGAGAGCGCCTGACCAGACAGCGAGGCCCTGAGCAGGGTGTGGTGCTCCGACTGYGGGGACATTTGCCATCTTTATTTACCAAGTGCCCTGTATCACTGCTCCTGGCTTGCCTGGGTGATGCAGGGGAAGGGGAAGGAGCACACCGGCACTTCATTCTGTAAAGGGCCGGAGCGGATCACCCAGCAGTCATGAAAGGGCCTCTGGAGAAGAACAGATTTGATTTTGACGTCATCACGGTGGGAGTGTTGCCTGCAGTTTAGGGACCCTGTGCATGGGCTGGGGGACAGGTGTGGGAGTGGGAGGACATTGATGGGGACACCGCATCCTCTGATGAGCATCTTCTTCAAAGGCAAAGCCACCATAGGGCTTATGCCACCACGGAGAAGGCTGCCCTCTGCTGGGGCCCTCCTCTTGATTCCCCAAGAGAAAGAACCCGCTCTCCCGCTCTGCAAAGCCCCACCCTCGCTGCACTTGATCAGAGCCAGAGAAACTCAGGAAGAGGGGCCTCGACTCCTCACTTGAGGCCCTCGTATAGCAGCCTGATGTGCTTGGAAAGACAGGGCCTGGCAGGTGGAGATCCGGAGACGCGTACATCCTAATTCCTGGGACTGTGAGCAGGTGGCCTCCATGGTAAAACRTGTGGGTTAAAGACCTTGAGATGAGAGGGAGCCCAGGGTTGTTAGGAAGGCTCRGGGCCATCACAGGGTCCCTGTGAGAGGGAGGAGGAGGTGCAGAGGCAGAGGCCAGGTGGCAGAGACTGGGGGGTGCTSTGCTGCTGGCCTTGGAGATGGAGGAGGCCCCTGTGCCAGGATGCGCAGGCACCTCCAGTCGCTGGAGGAGGCAGGAGATGTGACCCGCCTGAGTCCCCGGAGGGAGCACAGGTCCCAACCCGTTCTGGAAGTTCTGACTCCAGAACTGTAAGAGAATAAGTGTGTGGTCAAGGTCGGTGTGCTTCCAGCCACCGCTGTGTCGGGCTCATTTGTTGCAGCGGCAACAGAAAACTGATAGGGAAGGTGCTGGCACCCAGGGGCAGTCCCCACCTTGACCAGGCGGACAGTTCCCTGCTTGATTGACACTTAGACCTCTTTAGCTGGCGTGCACATGGACAGTGGTGGGAGTAGATGAAGGGAAATGGTGGGAGCTTGACTCGAAGAGCACCTAAGATAAAGTGTGTGTGTGTGTGCGCGCGTGTGTGTGCGTGTGTTCGTGTGTGCGTGTGTGTGCGTGTGTGCATGTGTGTGTGCATGTGCCTGTGCATGTGTGTGTGCGTGTGCATGTGTGTGTGTGTGGCCTGCGATTCCTGGACATGGGATGCCTGGTCCCCCTCCCTCCACCCCAGCAGCTCTGACGGCCCCGTGGCAGGTCTCGGTGTGTGCGCTAGTGTGACATCCTAACGTGGCTGGCTGCTCTGTGCCCTGATGGCGGATGGCCGTGGCAGGGTGAAAGCAAGCGGCRAGAATTCTGGAATATAAAAGTGCATGTTGTGCTTCGCGAGTCACCTCCGGCGAGGCTCAGGCACCTCKGTGGTGGCAGGATCACACAGTCTGCAGCCCGCAGGCCCTTCCTGGTGGACCGCCTCACTGGGCTCCGTGGCCCGGGATCCAGTTCCTCCAGTCGAAGGCCGAGTTGGCCCCATGCGTCAGCGTCTTCACGGGTGGTGTGGCCAGCTCCCACTTCCCCTCGGCTTTGTTCTCTTCACAGAAGCACATTCCCAGGGAGGGGATCTGGAACAGAGGTTGGGCTCCGTGTTGACATTTGATGCCAGCCTGCCAGTTCTGGGCTGGTCTTGACAGGCACTCCTGGGCTGTGGAGGRCCACCAGGGTCCCCGCTGCCTTAGACCAGTGTGGCGTCTGCCAGGGCAGTCCTCACCTGGGGCCGACTGACCCCCCAGGGATGCCTGGGGTCAAGGTGCTGCTGAGCACCCTGGAATGCAGGGGACCTGAGAAGCGTGGGGTCCAAATGTCCGCAGTGCCATGGGAGCCCTGGTTGGCCCCCCAGGGAGTGGCTGATGTTCTCACAGCAGCACAGAAAGGGGCCTGTGGGGTTTCCAGGCTCAGGGACAAGCACCCGAGGAGCTCCGGCACAGTTCCTTGTGGAACGAACRTGCTGGGTGGACAGGCCCCTGTGACGGGCTTTACGTTTGTGGCATGTTTTGTTTTTCTTCATTTCCTTTCTCTTTCTAATATCTAGAACTTCTTGGATCAGACAAAATTTTGCAGAAATCCCCTGAGGCAGGGGGATCTAAGTGGAGGCTGGTGTGGAATCAGGAGTGAGCCTCTCCTTTGGCTTAAGGGGTGGGGGTGGGGTGGGCAACAGGAAGGTCCTGAGTGGGCAACAGGAAGGTCCTGAGTGGGCAACAGGAAGGTCCTGAGTGGGCAACAGGAAGGTCTTGGGTGTTCCGTTTGCAGCTGCCCCTGATTTGAAGGCCCGTCCTTTGGCAAAGCCCCTTGATGAAGTTCTGAGGAGCCTGGGCAAGTCTGGCTTATCTTGGGGGGTGCTGGGGTGGATGCCAGATGGCCAGCATAGGAAAGCCCCGGGAGTTCAGGACTGGCCAAGGGTCTTGTGAGTGGGCAAGACCTTTGGCCACAAGGACAAGTGGGTTTTGGAACGGTGTCAACTTGCAGTTCTGAGATTGTYTGGTGTGCAGTGCTGTCACCCTTGCTGGCTACATGGACAAAGAGGAGCCCGGGCCGGGGCTTGTGTGAGCGTGTGGCTGCAGGAAGGGGGCAGGGAGAGGAGGGGGGCCTGAGAGCAGGTGGCAGGAGGCACACTGACATCTGCAGGAGCAAGAGCAACATTCGGGGGGCGCTGGGGCTACCCTGGAGGATGCCCCAGGAAAACCTCTAGGGACGTTCTGCAGCTGGTGAGTCTGGAGACAAGCAGGGGAAGGTCCTTCTGGTCCCCCAGTGCTCCCTCCGGGGTCTGCAGTGGGCCCACAGTCGTCTCTCCCGCTCCAGACGGCTCAGCCCTTACTGGGCTGTGTCTTCTACAAGTGGCGAGGAATTAGAACAGGAACCAAAATCTTTAAATCCTGCTTCTTGTTCTTCACACTCTTGGCAGCAGTGATCTCAAGTCACAGTGACAGTGATAAGGACAACAGGCCTGTCCGTCACCCCAGCCAGGGTTGCTCTCTGCTCAGGAGAGGTGGCACCTTCTCAGAGGCACGTGGGACCTGTTGCCCAGAGAAGGGACTGTGACAGCCTGTGCCTTCTGGCTGCTGGACTTAGTGGCCCACACAGCTGAGAACATGCACTTACCTTCCTCACCAGCTGGGCGAAGTCCCCACAGTCTCGGGGTGGCAGCCCCAGGAGGGGCCGGGTGCAGGAGTCCAGCGCAGAGCCATGGCTCACGATTAGAATGATGCCCGCTGTGGAAAAAGGACATCTCGCTGTCAGAGCAGGAGCAGAGCACCTTCTCGGACGAGTGTCCTCCCAGTAGCTGCGTGGCTGACCGTAGCCCAACCGCACTCACTATTCTGCCTCCCCTGGGTGCCGTCTTTTCCAGCGGGCATCACCCCTCTGCAGAGGGTCTGGAGGTACAGCACCTGTGCACCAACTGCAGGGTGGAGTGGGGGATCTGAGCCACCACCCTCCGGGGGTTGGCTGCCTGGGTCAGTCAACCATAGGTGAGATCTGGTGGTGGCTGCTGCCCAGGACTGACCAGGTGGGTGCTTGAAGGGATCAGCCAGTTTATCACTGTAAGGACTCCAGTGTCTGGAGGGCAGCCAGAGTTCCCGGGCTGAGTGGGTCTCCCTCAGTGACGTGAGTGCCCCAGCCAGCTGTGGGGAGTGGGCTGTGGCCCACACACCCACCTGCCYGGCAGTTCCCTGGCTTCCTGGTCCCTAGAAGCTGACCTGAGTTCTTTGGACATGGGTGCTGGCCTGGGTCTGTCAGCTCCTGGGCCCAGCATCAGGGTCCCATCTAGGTCCCCGTTACTGTGGCGGTGGAGGTGGGTGCTCTGCGGGCTGGAGGATGGGAGCGGGGGAGTGGGGGTGCTAGTAATCCAGGAGTCGTCCGTTTCCACCGCAGAGGGAGCCCCCCGAGGCTGCTCCCACRGAAGGCGGAGGACTCACCGTCCTGGGGGCAGGCGCCGAGGATCTGGTGCATGCTCACGGYACACCTGTTGACGTACTCCTCGTAGCTCTCAGCAGGCAGGAGGGAGCAGAGGGGAAAGGCAGGCCTGGAAGGAGGAGGAGGGTCTGGCTACCCTGTGGGCTCCTTCGCAGGGACTGGGGGTGTGCGCTGGGCCGGCTGGGGAGGAGAACGCTCTCCTGGTGGCCCTGCCTGGCAGGGCTCAGGGGCCTCCAGTCAACAGAAGATGGCACTGGCAGGGCTGTGTTCTTACGGAGCCCGGTAGGGTCCTGCTCAGCTCTTGGGCTTGGGAGGGAAGGACCAGTATGTTCCCCTCCATCAGACTCAGGTCAGGYGCCCCCCGATGCCTCCCCTGCGAGGCCCTGACCTTTGGGCATCTGCACGGGTAAGACCACCRTCCATGTCTGACCAGATTCCTCTACCCTGGCCCCTCAGGTGCCATCTGATCACCCTGGCTTGCCCTCACCAGGAGTCTTGGCAGGCAGGCTCAGCTGCTCTCCACCAGTGCCCACCTGCTCCTGGGCCACAGATCCCCGCCGGCCCTGGCCGTGCTCAGAGCTGGGCCCACCCCTCTCCCCCACTGCTCAGCGCCACCACAAAGTCCCTCCTGAACATGGTCTCCCTCGCCTTCTTCCACCAGGGTTCTGACAACTCTTTAACCAGAGCTGGGGAAAGAGGGGCAGAGAGCCTGGGCAAGGCCCACCTGTAGTCGGGGTCGACGTGGAAGCCCGCCTCCTTCAGCTCTTCCCGGGTCATGAAGGCCGGGGCGCTCTTGCTGGCCTCCCATTTCATCCACTCGAAGATCCCGGGCTCCACTCTTATCTTCATTTTTTTCTCCAGTTTGAGTTCTGGATTCAACAGAGAACAAGTGTTTGTCCTGGGCAGCGTCCAGTGTGGCCTGAGTAGATGGGTCTCTCCCCCACTGGAGCTGACTTTCACGCAGATCTAAAAATACCTTTCAAAGATGTGATTCTTTTTCTTGGTGAATATTGTTCTGTGATTAAACTCAGCTGTGCTGTTTCTGAAACCCAAGCTGCCAGGCGATGGAGGTACCAGAGGGGTGAGGACTTTCTGTCTGGAAGGGACAGCCTACCTCGAAGGCTGCAGGCTCGACTGGACCCCAGGAGGACTTACAGCTAAGCCACCATGGCAGGCCTCACCCTCTGGTGGAGGCCAGGAGGGTGCAGTGAGGACTCTGCCGGTCCAGCCGTCAGTAGGAAGGATGTGGCCCTCTGGAGAATGTCAGTGACGAGGCACTGTCCTGATGGACACGTGGCCCCGACTGGGCAAGTGGTGAAGGACAGAAAGGAACTGTCTCTGGGAGGTTCTGGCTCCTTGCAACTCACCTTTTATGTCTTGACTAAAAGGTCTGTCAAGGAAGGCCGTCCCTTTTTGCAGGGGGGATAAAAGACTGACTGCTTTTATTTGAAATGGGGAAAGTGTCATTAAGTGCAAGTGTTGGAGATTAAACTAGTTCCAAAATGTGTCCAGATTCACGGGACGGGTTCCCACGCCAGGCACTTTTAGGAAGGGGTTGGACCAAGGCTCCTGCGTCCTCCCTGGTCATGGTTAAGGACATCACAGGAGGAGGCTCTGGGAGCTTCCAGGGCCTGGCCAGCAGCTCCCCTGTGGAGGACGCCTCCTGGGCCACTGCGCTGTGGGACACCTTTGGCTAATGGCCCATCTGGACACTCATGGACGAGGAACTGATGTAAAGCTTAGCATGTTTGGATCTGCCTGGAAAACAGGTGGATCGTGTTTGGGATTTATGGGGAGGATCGGGTTTGCTTGTTTTCTGAGCTAACACAGGAGCTATAAGCCTGTGTCCTTTAACAATGGGAATCTTCTGTGACTAGAGTAGAAGCCAAAGATCAYGTTAGAGATACAGACATGGCCATTGTCCAATGACAGTTTTGAGAACTTTTTGTTGTTCATGCCAGAGACCCAAGTAACAGAAGCCAAAAGAATATCCACAAAATATGGAATAAATATGCTCCTAATATGGAAACATAAGTGACAAAATGGACAAAATTACGAAAAGATTTTTAAAGTGCTCAGCGTTTTTTTGCCATGAAGACTGCACAAAAGAATGTTTTTATGCTTCTGTTCATACGCCGTTGCTGTGATGGGAGGTTGGGAGGGAAGAGGAGGGCCAGGTCACCACTGGAGAGGGTGGGCCACAAAAGCCCAGGCGCCAGGCCCAGGGCGTCTGGCGGGACACAGGCCCTGGGCGTCTCACACCAGCTCTCCCGGGTGCGCCTGCAGAGTGGAAGTTAAACCAGTTTTGAAAGATGGTGGAAAATTGCATCTTAGGCAACCACAAACGAGGCTCTATAAATGGGAGGAAGTGAGAGGCTTGGAGCAGGGACAGAGAGGGAACTGAGGCCAAGCTGTCACCTTGTATCACACCCTGCCCGTTCCTTGCTTTGTTCCCTCTTACTGTCATCGTTGGGTCAATAATAAGCACGCTGGTGCTAGGCAACCTGGGGTGTGTTATTTCCTAGGTGTTTTGCTTTATTCCGTCACAGTCACTAAGAGTCACCCCAACCTGAAAGCTGCAACAAATGTGGCCTAGAAGCGATTGTGCGGGCGTTGAAAGAACTGGCGTTGGTGGTACTTCTGCTGCCCTGTCCCTCCAGCAGAGGGCGGCACGGAGTGGCCACTTCTCATTTCTCCTTCCCTTCTGGGTGGGTGGTGAGAGAAACGAGGAGAGTCCACCACCGTGGGCCCTTATCACCTGGTTGGGTCATTTCTCTGAAAAAGCAGCTGGTCTCGTCTTCCTGTGCCCCAGCACTGTAGTCCATGCTCAGCTGCTGAAGGAGACGCCGAGGTGTGTGCGCATGTGTGTATGTGCTCATGTGTGTGCAGTTGTGTGTGTGTGTGTGCCGTGTGTCCATGTGTGGTGTGTACACACGTGCTCTCTGTGTGCAAGAGTCTGCACACGTGTTGATGGGGAGGGACGAGGGCCCTTGGCAGGCCTGTCCCACCCTGGGTGCAGCCATGCCGTGCATCAGGCCACCCAGGCAGTCAGGCACTGGGGACTACCGGGCGCTACCCAGGTTTGCCATAAAAGGCTGACTTGGTCCTTTTATCCTCCTGAGCACCATGAGCTGAGAACCGGAGGGAGAGGCACCCTGCAGTCACATTGGAACCCCCGCACCAGCTGAGGTACCCSCATTTCTAACTCAGAGACCTGAAACGCCTAGTGGGGGCTCGAGGTCCAATGTCACTAGGGGGTGGGATGACAAGGGAGCAGGGAGGGTTCCCAGGTGGGAGGCAGACGGAGGCTTCTCGGGGTCACAAAATAGTCCTTGAGAGCCTGGGAAGGGRTGGATGGCGCCAGGGGCCCAAGCTGCTCCTGAAGGTGGTCAGCCACCACAGGCTGGGACTTCTGACCATGCATCCTGACCGGGATGGTCCCTGCAGAGCTGCCCACACAGGACGGGAGGGAGAGAAGGCACAGGAGTGGGGCAGGTGCACCTGTCCAGTCCACCCATCATCCTTCCTACAGCTCCTCCTGACCATCTGCACCCAGTCACCGCTCCTGCCTCGGATACTCTGTAGGCGCAGTCTCCTGCTGCTCCCTCGCTCCCCCAGGACTTGGTTCCTGTGAGCTCCCTGCCCTTCTCCTTCCACCCACCTGCCCAGCCCCGTCTCCCTGCCGGAGCCCGCCTGGACCCCACAGCCTCATCACCCTGCACACACTGTCCCCAATCCACACTCCCTCACTGCCTTGCCCTCACTGTCACCCCAGCCTTTGTTAGCTCCAGCTGGGGGGGACCCCGGGCCCACCCAATGCTCCATGGAAACTCATGCCCACAACTGTGCTGCCCCGGTCATTCTGCTGTCCCAGCCCATGTGTGGCCCCACTCCCCAACAGCTCTGCAAGCTTCTGACTGTCCCCCCTGGCTTGCTGTCCATGGCGACCTGACTTCCTGTGTTTCTGAGACATGGAGCAAGCCCTTCCCCCACGTGGGCCCGCCTGCCGTGTCTGTGCCTGGCCTCCCTCCTGCCCCTGTGTCCTGGCGCACCAGTCCCTGCCTGGGGAACTAGGTCACATCCCTCCTCCCACCCAGGAGGAGCAGGCGGGGTGCAGACTGGGGAGCAGAACCTCCTAATGGGCTGCCATCTCTGGGCAGGAAATTCTTCCTGTGTAGAAGCTGCACAAGGGCCCACCAAAGGCTTCCTGGCATACTCTGCCCCCAGAAGCACGCAGGACAGCCCCCGTGGGCAGCTTAGAAGGGACCACAGCAGTTCCCAGATCCCTGGGTTTTTGAAAGCCCCTTTCCAGGTGTTTCCTTCGACCTGGCAGAAAGGGGCCTGGGTGAGCAGCAGGACGGGCCCGGTGCTCGTCACCCGGCTCCTACTGCCCACAGTCCTGGAGTGCAGAAGCAGCAGTGCCTCAGCGGCTGGCCTGGGGCCGCTGGTCCATCTCGGCCTTTGCTTTGTCTGGCGGCTCAGGCCCGCCATCCCATTGTACCTCTGCTCCCTCCCCTCCCCTGGAGGACAGTCAAGGCCACATTCAAAGCCWGCTGAGATTCTCACCGACCTTCCAGGATGTGTCTGGCCGTCTGCACACAGCGGAGGGCTGGGGAGGTGAAGACGGCGGTGAGTCTGACGCCACTGTCCATCAGCGCTCCTCCTGGAAGACAGCCGTTGGAAAGCCCCTTCAGACTCTAGCCCAGGAATGCAGCTTAGGAGGCGGCTCCACCTGAGGCAGGCAGGGTCCTAGGAGGTTCTGGGACACCTGGCATGATCTTCCTGGGTGTGACTGTGACCACCAATCCCTGCTCCTGTGACCAGGAGACGACCCAGGGGACGTCACAAGCAGAGATTCCCCCAGCCAGTCACAGAAGTCAGAGGTTCGAAGTGAGAGGGGTTTGGCATGTGAGAAACTCTCCGTTTCTGTCTTGCAAGAGGGGCCCCACGGCCAGGAGTGTGAGCAGAGCAGTCCCTGGTCAACAGCCCGTGAGGAGAGGACCTTAGTCCCACAACCGAGAGGATCAGCCTTCAGCCGGAGTCTGGATGGGGGCCTGAGCTCCGGTGGGTGCTCCGTCCTGCGGACCCTCTGATTTCTGGCTTTGAGACTTGGCAGGATCCATCCCCGCCCACCTGGGTGCACACATGTGGGCTGTGCCTTACGCTGTTCTGCAGTAACAGCAAACTTGAGGCCCCGGGGACAAGGCCCCTTGAGGCTCACTGTGGGACAAGCCTCTAGACCAGCCACCTTTCCTGCGCTGTGGCAAGTCCCACTCTTGGGAAAGCAGGGGTCCCTACTGGGCAAGCCCTGCACAGGGCCAAGGCTGGTGGGCACCAGGGAGCCTACCCAAAGAGATGTGCCGGGTGGAGTGTGAACCCCAGGTACCTCAGATACAGCCTTATGTGGACCCAGGGTGTTTATAGAGAGCATTGGCCTCCCTTCCCTGTCGCATCTGCATCCAAAGGCCCAACCAAGTGTGGGTCAAAAATATTGAAAAAAGATTGCATCTGTGTAGAACGTGTACAGACGTTTTTCTTGTTATTCCTTAAACAACAGAGTCTGTTTGCATAGCATTTACATTGTTTCAGGCATCGTGTCACCTGGAGAGGATTGGAGTATACGGGAAGGTGTGCACAGATTCTATGCAAACACCACACCATTTCACCTAAGGGACTTGAGCATGCCAGGATTTGGCACCTTAGGGGGTGACCCTGGGTGAGTTGCCTCACCTCTCTGTGCCCAGCCTCCCTGCAGCAGAGTGGGGAAATGCTGATACTGACATTACACTGCACACTGAAGGGCCACGTCCCTGTAGCTACGATGGCCACCATGTGACTATCAGCTGCTCCTTCCCAGTGGCCTCACACACACCTGCTAGTCTGGATTGGAAAATTCCACAGGATGACAACGGAGGGTCGTTTTCAAAGTCTTTGATGCCACTGCTCCGTCGAGGCAGACTGCGGGGGAAGTTCAGGTCAGGCCTGTAGTATTTTCCTAAGGCAAAACGAAAGAACGTGGGACGTCGGAGCAGACGTGTCCCAGGAGGCTGCATTGCCAGTAAGGCTCTTATTTAAATCACCCTCAGCCGTTGCTTTTCCTGCTCTCTCTGAGATGCGGATTCCGCTTGAGGAGCAAAGGCAGCTTTGCCGTGCTTTGCAGAGCACTGAGGTTGCAGCCCCAGGAACCGTGACCCTCTCTGCCCTCCCAGAAGCCCCAAGAAGAGTCACACAGTGAAGATCCTGAGAGAGAAGCAGAGTCTCCATGACTGATGTGGCATTAATTAATCAGGTGCAAGGTGACCCGCTCCACAGCGTTAAGTGTATCTTACAGCTTGTAGGACAGTGTGCACCAGGCTCTGGTGATCTGCACTGGGGACACTCAGTGACTTGAGGGCAGGACTAGAAAGTTGGGCGTGTCCAGACACCCTCCCCACTCAGGGGCTGCATAGTACATTCTGAGTTCGACCTTGAGCTCTAAGATCTGTCTGTCAGGGTGCGAATCCTGGCACCATTGGCAACAGGTACAAGAGGAGAAGCATACAGCTTACCTCCTCCTCAGTAAAGAGGGGAAGTGAGATTTGAGCTAGTGCCACTGAGCTAGTGCTGGAGCCCAGCGCCCAGCTCAGACTCGTGTCCAGCAAGTGCCAGGGCTGTCTCCTATCAACATGCTCCATCATCCGTGCAGATGGTATCACCATTGATGAGTGTGCGCCAAGTAACCCCGGAGCTCTCTGGTGTTGGCACATTCCTGCAGCCACAGTGACATGGCCATTCTAAAGGGCACAACTAAAGAAAGTGAGACTGGGCCCTCATTGGTCATCCTGCCTGCAGACCCCCTGGACTGGACCTACCGTCTGCAGTGGTGCACTGCTGCAGCCACGACTTCCCGAAGATCTGGTCCACTCTCTCCCCGTGCCGCACCACCAGCACGCTCCTCCTGGAGATCACGGCCTGGCGGTGGGAGGAAACGGAACCCARGGGACCAATCAGCCTTGTTGGACAGTGTCCCTCCAGGTCCTGGCGGCTGGCCTGAGGGGAAGCCTTGTCCCGTGCTGGTCGCCAGTTCTGTCCACTTGCCAGAGCCCTCCCAGTGAACAAGGACCGGGCACATCCCAGTTCCTCCCACCTTTTCACTTCTTGGGCACAGAGCCTCGTGAAGGAGACGAAGAGACAGGTCTGGTCCCCCCATAACCCAACAAGTCTGCGTCCCTGTCTCTTGCAAGTCCTCAGTCCTCCACAGAGACTGCTTAGATTGTGATCTCTCTCTCCCTATCACTGTTTTGTGATCTATCGTTACCGTATTTCTCTCACCCATCTATTGGCTGCCACCTCCTGTTCTGCGGACACTCCTCCTCTTCCAGGAGCCCTCCAGGACTGCCCCTGTGTTGGCACATTGAAAGGCAGCCGGACAACTCCTCTGGACTCAGATGTGTCCTCTGCCCCTGAGCACCCAGGGAGAAGCCCTCCATCCATCCTCCTCGCTGCCTTCCTGCAGCTGTGTTCTCTGCTACGGGAAAGTGCTACGGGAAATCAGCATGGCTGTCCCTGGCGGTCCATGGAGGAGAGTGCAGGACCCCTTYGGATACCAGAATCCACGGACACTCAATCCCCCATACAAAATGGCACAGTATCTGCACACACCTCCCATGTACCCGACATCATCTTTCTGTTGCATAATCACCCCGAGGCAACAGAAGTGCTCTGTGAATAATGGCTTTACTGTTTTACTTAGGGAATGAGGACCAGGAAACAGGCTGTACTGCCCAGTGCAGGTGTGCTGTAGTTTGGATCTTGAATGATCCCCAAAGGCCCCTGTGTTCAAAAGCGTGGTCCCCAGCTGGTGGCACTATTGGCAGTTGGTGGGAACTTCAGGGCTTAGTGGAGGGAGTCAGGTCACCGAGGCACTCTTGTCGGGGTGGTGGGCCAGCCCCTTTCTCTCCCCCTGCTCTCTGGCTGCCGTGAGGGGAGCAGCTCCTCCACCCTGGGCTCATGCCTTGTTGCACTCTGCTGCCAAAGGCCCAAAGCAACAGGGCCAGGTGACTGTGCCCTGAAACTAGGAGCTCAAATAAACCTTTCATGTTTTTAACTGGCTTATTTGGGGGATTTTGTCACAATGATGAAACACTGACTGACTGAAGATGCAACTCGTCTGTATATTCTCAATCCGTGTCTGTTGAATCAGTGGGTACAGAACCTGTGGCTATGAAGGGCTGACTGTATTTTATTCTGCTTCTTTTTGGCATGACAGAGGATTTGGCAGTGGCCAGCAGTCTCAGGTACTGGGGTCAGCTGCTCTCTGGCACATTCCTCCCTGGCTCAGACTGCCCTCTGAGTGGCCTTAAGCCTTGCAATTGCAGGGATGTGTCCCACCTGTTCTTGACGTCACCAGAGGCCCTTCAAGTGATGATGCGCTATCCCCTGGAGGGGGCTCCTACCTGTGGGGGTCTATCGCCAGGGGAGCTGGGGATGACCCTTCTCCTACCCGTGAACGACTGAAGGGATGGGGGCAGCTTGAGAAGCACCTGCTCTAAGGGAGACGGTGCGGGGGGGGGGCAGAGGGCAGAGTTCTGAGGACTGAGCCAGCAGGAGGCCAGCAAGAGGCCTCCAGGACAGCTGTGGGCAGCCAAAGCCCTTATTATATATAAGCCAGGACTCTGAGGAGGCAGGAGGGTCAGCCGTCACCTGGAGAACCGCCACCCAGTGCCAGGCCCAGGCTTCTGGGGGCCTCTGCTCTAARGCTGGATAGAGCTGTCCCACCTCAACCCAGGACCCACAGTGCTGCCTGCTGGCTCCCAGGWCTCAGGCTGTCAGTGCCACTGTCACAACCTGGTGTCTTGGGAAGGTGCAGGCCAGATGCTGGGACAGTGCTGCAGGGCACCCCTTCTCCAGGAGCTGCAGGTCTCTGTGGGGCTSAGGGACAAACCCAGGAAGATGCATCACAGAGCCACTGAGGGCAGAGGGGACAGTGCCTGCCYCTGGAGTGGGCTGGGGGCTTCTGGGCCTGACAGGACTTGGTGACTCCTGAAGCCAAGGTCAGCAGGATGACAGGTGGGGAGCGCAACGTGACGGGCAGCCCGGGGTCCTGTCCTCTGTGCTGCTCCTCCTCTGGAAACGTGGACCCTTGTCTAGGGACATGATGACAGAGCCAAGCGAGGTCCTGGGAGGGGACAGAGCAGCCCCTGGGTCTGAGGATGGAGAGGGCTGCACCCTGTCTCTAGGCAGAGCCGTCACAAACCGGGCAGCACAGAGCAGCGCAGGTGAGCTCCCACCATCCTGGAGGCCAGAAGTCCAGCTCAAGGGCTCCAGGGCCAGCCCTTCCTCACCTCCTCCAGTTCCCGTGGCTCCAGTGTCCCCTGGCTTGTGGCGGCACAGTCTCTGCCTCTCTTCCCGTGGCCTCTCCCTCTGTGGGCCTTTCTGCTCTCCCTCTTGAGGACAGTTGTGGCTGCATTAGGGCCACTAGACACGCCAAGGTCCTTAACTGGATCCCTGTGTCCTTTCAGGTTGCATCTGCAGGTTCCGGGCTCAGGGCCTCTCACCTGCGGGCCTGATTCAGCCTGCCCCAGGTGCCCTGTTCCACCGGAGGCCACAGCTCTCCTCACTGTTCAGACGAGGTGGAATCAGAGCAGAGGAGGGGCCGCTGGCAGGGAGACGCGGGCTCCTTCCTTCCATTTAAAGCCCCAGTGAGCTGGAACGCAGGCCGTGCTCTGGGGAGCCCTCTGTCCCAGGTCCCCTCCTTTGCTCTGGAAGGGACCTGGTCTGGGAGGGCCGTCCATGCCTGCTCCTCCACTCCTACAGTGGGTGGGTGGCATATCTGCCCGCACTGTGTTTCCTGGCACCTGGGCAGCTGGGGTACAGGTGTCCGCTTCTTGTCCACTAGTGACCAGCAGGTCTCTGACTTCCGGGCAGTGGCTGCCCAGCTTGGGCCATCCTTCTCTCTGACTAAAGCAGATCTGTGTCACCTTCGGGTGTCCAGTGTCCTAGGCTCAATTCCTGTTTGGGCTGAGCTCCCCTGGCTCAGTGGCAGCCTCTGGGGCACTGAGCGGGTCTAGAGGAAGGATGTTGGGCTGCCTGCTAGGGCTGCTGGGGCCTGGCCACGGCAGGCCCTAGACGCCCCACTCCTGTGAGGCTCCCAGCGTCCAGTGTGGGTCAACACTCTGTGGCCCCCACCAAGCTGCCTTCCTCCTGTAAGCCCCTGTTTTTAGATTTGTAAAATGAGGGCAGAAATGCTGGGGATGCAGGAAAAGGGTCCTAATTCTGTGTGTGGCACCAGGTGGGACCAGAGAGACCGTCCCACTGATGTAGTAACTGCCCAAGGACCCTGCAGGTGCTTCCCCAGGGGGTTCCTGGTAAGGAGGACTAGATTCAGGTGGAAGGCAGATGGCCCAAGCCCAGGCAGCGTCTGGGGGCTTACAGGGAAACTCACTTGCCTTTGGGAGGGGGCTGCCTGTTCCTGAGCCCACATGTGCAGCCTGACTCCTGGTGGGCCACATGTGCCCTGGACTCTGTCCCCCACGTTATAGCATGGGCTCCTGTCTTGCCCAGCCCTGCCTGGAAAGAAGGGAAGCCGAGGTTCCAGGGCTGGAGACTTCTCTGGGGGTACTTGGCTTGTTAATGAGAAAATTGGAGCAAGAATTGAGTGTCCTGGCCATGCTCTGTCCCTGTCTCCTCCCAGCCTGGTGTCCTCGGGCCATGGCAGATGCTGCCTACAGAAACACGCAGGCAGGCTGCTCAGCCACAGAGGTCGAACCACCCTCCCCAGGGAGGACAGACCCGGGTGGCCCAGCAGCTCAGCCCTGGTGGGAGGGCACCTTGCTGGTCCACGTGCCAGTCTGCTGTGGGGCCGCAGAGGAGGCTGCCTACAGACCCACAGTTAACACTAAGCAGCCGCATCCGCCGTGAGTTAATAGAAAGTGCTGTGCTTAGTTGACTTTACAGGGTGGGGGTGCTCTTACCTGCAGAGCCAGCKCGCTGCTGACACCCCTCGGCGCTGGAGAGGGGTGGAAGTCCCCACTTTGTCTGCCGTTGACGTCCCCGTCCTTCCTGGAGTTCCTGTCTATGGCCAGACTAAAGGTGTACGTCCTGCAGGAAGAAGACGGGTTGCCTCAGAAGCACCACCCTGGCCGTGCTTGGCTGTGGATGTGCTCGAGTGTGACCACCTTGGCAGACAAGGTCACTGTGAGGACAAACCGAAGCAGCACGTGCCAAATGCTCAGAACGGGGCAAACCTGATGGTGGGGTGTTCTGCGGCTGCTGGCCCCACCATGAGGGTTCATTTCATGTCCGCCTGGCCAGGACATGGTGCCCAGATGTTGGTCAAAGGTTATTTTATATTTTTGAGATGGGGTCTTGCTGTGTGGTCCAGGCTGGTTTTGAACTCTGGGGTTCAAGAGCTCTTCCTGCTCAGCCTCCCAGGTAGTGGGCACGACAGGCCCATGCCAACATGCTTGGCTCTAATGTCAGTTCAAGTGTTGCTGTGAAGGTGCTCTCTAAATGAAATTAAAACCGAAATCACTAGACTCTGAGAAACGTCATTACGAGCTCTGTAATGCAGGGGACCCCACCCAGCCAGGTCTTGGAAGGAGTCAGACTGGGGTGGGTCCCTGAGGAAGAGGGAGTGCCGCCCACAGACCATCTTTGGACTGGAGCTGCAGCGCCAGCTCCTCCCTGAGCCTCTCGCCCTGCAGACTTTAGATTGGCCAGACCACAGTTTTGAGCCAGTTCCTTAAAATCTCTCCCCTTCTCTCTCACATCTGATTGCTTCTGCTTCTTTGGGGAACACAGACTATTTCTCTGGTTAATACACCATCCTCTTTGGTTCACCTTCTGAAACAGTCAGGTGTGCAGATGGGCATGGCTGGGGTGCAGGGACAGATGCACGGCGGGCAGGTGCCTTGAGAGCTATGAAAACATGGGAAAGAGGGGGTGCATTTCAATAGAGAGAGAAGTCGCAGGTGAAGAGGAAGTTGACTCACGTCCATTGAATCAAGAAAAGTGCCCTAGGGTGGACAGGCGTTGGGGAGCTCTGGGGAGGCTGGGGATGGACCCCAGCTGCCAGGGGAGGTGAGAACTCTGGCTTCGGCATTCAGGCCAGGGTGGAATGCAAAGCAGGTGCGTCTGCAGGGAACCGGCAGTGGCTGGAAGAAGAGAGCAGGAGAGAGAGCCCACGTCCCAGGAATCCTCCTCAGAGCAGCAGAAGATCCTCTACCCAGGGAGGTCATCTTACAAATGCAAAGATCTCTCAAAGGAATCCACAGCCTCTGTGGGGGCGGGAGCTGCTGAGCGTCTCTCCAACAGAGCCTCCGTGCCCTTCTCAGGGCTGCGCTGGGTGTGAAGAGCCCTTCTCCACCAGTTCCTCCACCCACGTGGGTCCTCGCTTTCCGCCAACCCCAGCTCCGCTGGCTTCCTATTCCAGCAGAAGGACTCAGGATGTTTTATTCCTCATTATTATTAGAAAATATAATAAATTGAAAAAGAAGATAAAATATAACTTGCTGGCTCAGTTGATCACGGAATCTCACCCCATTTTCCTCATCCAGCCAATTTTGATCTTTCATGATCAGATCCACTTTTTTGGGAAAAGGAAAGCTCATGGTTGATGAGAAGGTGATGAGCATCATGGGGGCAGATAAACCAGGGGTGGCCAGGTGGGGGAGGTGGGGGTAGCTGTCCCACAGAGCCCCTGGGTGCTGCCGGTGACATGGGAAACGGAGAGGGAGGAGACTGCAGGGCATGCAGGTGTGGGCCAGGGTCCAGGGAGAGGAGAGAGAGCCTGCGGGGGCACCCTGCTCCCTCGGAGGGCGTGGGGCACAGCAGAGGCCAGAGTGACTGAGCAGAGTGCGTGGGGACAGGAGAGAGCCCAGGTTCAGGCATCGGAACCCAGTTTGCTGTGGACTCTGGTGAAAGACGTGTCTGTCGGGATCTCTCCTGCTGCCTCTGGGCTTCCCAAGTTCTCCCAGCCCAGGAATCAGAAGTACATGAGCTTCGACTGCCTTCCACARTCCCAGACTCTGCCAGGGGTGGATGTGAGACGGGGTGAGAATGTGAAGCACCCATTGCTTCCTGGTTTCTGGGGTGTCCTTCCTCAGACGCGAACCTCCCAGGGAGTGAGAGTGCTCCTCTGCTCTTCTCTCGGTCCTGCTCCTCTGTGTTTTACCTCCCCTAAGCCAGGATGCTGGTTCTCAAAGTCTTCTCAACTGCCCYGTTCATTCTCCTAGCAGAATCTTTCCATTCCCTCAGAGAGGTTCCACAAAGTGACCTGTGGCGATTTTGCCTGAACTTCATTAAACCTGGAAATGACGGGAGGAGCTGGCACGTTCCTGCCTCCACTCTGCTCAGCCACGAATTTGCATGTGCTTGACTTGTTCAGCCTGGGAGTAAATGTCCACTTTCCCCCACACTCACTCAGGTCCCCAGATCCTATAAACCCAGCAATGGCTCACCAGGCTTCCGTGCTGAGACCTGTCCAGGGCTGAAGTTGGCAGGTGTCACGTGCCCTATGTCTCAACCACGACTCAGGTGGGGCCCCAGGACCCAGCCCTGCAACGCTTCCTGCCCACATAGTGTTTTCAGTCAGTTCACGAGTTTCTTGTTTGCTTCAAGTTCTGCTCCCCTGCCCACGTCGCCRTGGCTTGCACTGTCTGGATCTACACATTCTATGGGAGGAGGCCAGGCCAAACGGATGGACCTGGTTCCCATGCACTCATACTGTCAGATACCAGCAGACGTCAGCTGATGGCCAGTGACCAAGAGTAGGCCTTGTGTTGGAGCCATGGACAGCTCCCTCTGCGAAAGGACTCATATCAGACAGGAAATGTGGGCAGGGTTCTCTTCCTGAGGGCAAAGCCGGGGCACCCACACCCCCTTGAGGCTCACTATGCCAACAATGAAGCCTCGTTATCTACAAGTGACATCTGCGAAGTTTACAGTTGGAGACAAAATTGAACTTCTCTGCCATCTTTCAGATGAAATGCACTCAAGATGATGGTGGGTGATGGTGATGGGAGGGGACAGAAGGGCCCAGCTTTGTGACATTTCCGTTTTTCTCGAACTCACGAGTCACTCAGTGGTTAACTTACACATGGAAATAGCTGTGTCTACACTCCACAGCTCCAGTCTTCCCCTGTGTCCTTACGGGGCCGTCCTTCTGTGTCTGTGTCCTGATCTCTTCTGCTTCTAAGGACACAGTCCTGTGGGATTAGGGCCACCTGAACAGCCTTGTTTTAACTGATCACCTCTGGAAAGTCCCTGTCTCCAAATGAGGTCATATCTGTTGGGTCAGGACTCCAACAGATGGATTTAGGGGGACAACACTCACCCCAGGACCACTGCATTTTTCAGTCTGAACGACCTGCCCTCAATTCATTCTGTGGTTTCTGAAAAGTCACTTGGATGCCTCTGTCTTGGATGTTGGAAATGCTCTCATCTTGGCTGCAGGTCTCCACGGATCCCCCTGAGCTGGACCCTCACGCAGGCCTCTCTGCTCCCCATCCTCCTGCCCAGATGGCTGGCAACTGCTGTGGTCAGGAGTGGTCCCCATCATGACGGCCTTGCACACAGCTTCCCACCTTCTCCAGGGCAGTGGGTGGACATCAGAGTGTGACTTTGTGGTTGCCAGTCAAGGAGCCCTGGGTAAAGGCTGGGTGGCCCTAGGGGTGCAGGGTGACTGCTGTATTAGCTGCCAAGTGTGAGCATCACGGCTGCAAACTTGGCGGGTCTGGAGAGCTGCAGTTCTTGCTCTTGTATCACGCGTGCCCCGTGTAGGTCCCCGAGGCTGACACACACAGAGTTACCGCCATCCACCTGTCCACAGGCGAGCCAGCCTTCAGACACAGCATGGAACCGATTCCCCACTGCTTAAGACATCTGTGACATGTGCAGACACCCAAGGCCTGTATTTGATTGAAGAAGCCTTAGGAGTCTAATAAGGACTTTCTGCTTTCTAGAAAGACTCAGCCGGCTAGTTCTCTGGCACCAGGGCCCAGGTCACATGTCACATTTGCCAGGTGTCTCATGACTCCCTGAGTGGGGGTGGGGAGCTTGAATGACAGGCCCGTCAGACACCCCAGAGYACCCAGCCCAGAGCTGGCTTCTCTTTCCTTTCATTGCAATTTTTGACATTGTAATTTTTCCTAAGAGAAACTCAGGCGTAAAAGCTAGACTGGTTACACTGGTGACAGGTCCCTGATATATCAATTGTGATGTGAAAAATGTGACACCCACGAGCTCACCTTCTGCAGTCTTGCTGGGTCATTGCGGATGGCCTGGTGGCTCCTGGGTGGCAGTGAGCTCTCCTGGGCAGGTGGGGAAGGCTGTGGGCCTCAGGGCAGGCAAGGCTCCTGAGTCTAGATGGCCTGCGAGGGGGAGAGCATCTCTGCTCCTGCGATTCCGTCGGTGGCCCACTGGACCAGTCGGTTGGAGTGGAGATGAGCACTTTCTTCATGCTGCGGCATTTCTGGCCTGCTGCCTTGTCTGTCATCTTGGCTGTGATGTGGGGCAGGGGTTTGTACTGGGTCATCGCTAAGGTCCCCATGGACCAGCATCTTGTAGCTCCGAGGTGGCCCCCAGACCCAGGGATGTCGACACTAGCAGAGGGGGCTCTCTGCACCCACCCGTCTGCCTGTGTCTGTGACCGTTTGCTGTGATGGTCGTTGAAGGAGTGTCCCCTCCACCTGGAGGCCAGAGAACTCGAAGCCCAGCTCTCTCAGGGTGCCTCCCTCCCCTGTTCTTTCTTTCTAGCTCTAGGGCTGGAAGGCAGGTCTAGCGCGTGCAGGGTGAGCACTCTCCTGCTGAGCTGGGCCTCCTCAGCCCCAGGTTTCTTAGAGTTCTATTAGTTATGCACAGGTTCTCTTTAAAGTACTTCCCACAGCTTCTCCAGCAGAATGGCCGTTTTCATAGCTCTGATTTGGAATGAACCTCTGTGGGAAGAGGTACAGAAGAAGTTCCCTGGGTGCGTTGAGGCTAGATAAAATTTGTCCATGGAAAGGGCCTCGCATGGATCTGAAAAGCTGTGGACTGAGTCGACTGTGAACAGAGCTGTGCTCAGTCCATGGTTTCCGCATTGGTGTGGAAACCCAGGCAGAGAATGAAGTAGTGCAATCTTTCAGGGAGACCTCCTGGAGGCAGGGGATGGGCACCTGGGTGCTTTCCTAGGCCCTTCCACAGCCTCTCAGTTCTGAAAGTGCCAGGAAGCCCCAGACCACACAAAAGGCTTTTCTAGACCTTTCCCCTGCCCACCCCCTCTAGGTCTTCTACCAGTCTCCTCGAAACCGCCTGACTCCGCCCCCACATGCACCTGCCTAGAGGGCGGGCAGCCTCCCCCCTTTCTCCCCTCCTCTCTTCTTCTGCASGATCCTCCACTCTCCTAGCTGACACCTGGGGGAAGACAGGGAAAAGCCCCTGGGAGGGTGGTTTCAGGGCTCAGCACCTTGCCATGACTTCGCAGTGTGTCACTATGGCTGCACTGAGCCAAGTCCCAGAATTCCCTGTCTAGCATGTGTCTGGCTCAGTAGGTCCCCGGAGACACTCTCGTGAGAGTTGGGCAGTGGCAGTCATTTTGAGCATCACACACAGCTTTCCCAATGGTCCGATCAAATGCTCACCCTCAAGCTGCTGGGAGGAGATGTGGTGAGCACCCTAACCAGCTGGATTTAAGTGGGTGGAGGGGCCATTATCCCACCTGTGCCCCACTTACTCAGTTGGAAGGCATTTTAAAAAGGCTTAGTCCTTCCTCAAACACAGAAACTCCACAGAGCAGCTGTGACTGCCACTGCTGGCCCACCCTGGGTGCTGCTGGCTGTCACCCGTGGGCCTTGCCCTCCCAGCTCTGTGATCTTTCCTCCTGGGTGTAGTGTGCATCTCATATTGCACATGCATTTGCAGCATACCTACCTGTATYTATGTGTATTTGTAGCAAATCTATGTATAATATAGAATCACGGTCCTTCTATTCCAATTAAACTTCTTCTAAGTTTGGTATCAGGAACTGGGGTGGGGGGCTATCCTAACAAGTACCTAGAATGTGGGGGCCACTTGGGGCTGGGCAGCAGGGCAGAGGCTGGGAGGATCTGAGTTGCCCGCTGCTGTGTCCCTGTGAGTGGAGGGCCCGCAGAAGCAGGCTGTGAAAGGTGCCCCGCGGAGAACCCTATGAGGAGTGAGACCTTGGGCAGGAGCCTGAGGAGGGGCTCCCATGAGGCAGGGCAAGAAGTTCAATGGGCTCATCCACAGGGGTCGGAACTTAGGAGGGATGAGGTTGGTTCTGTAGATGAGGGTGTTTGTGAGTTAAAGTGATCACCTGGCTTCTTCTTGTTTTTTTTTGTTGTAAAACAGGGAGGAGGGGGACAAATTGAAGAACCAAGAAACAAAAAGAAATCAGTACCTGCTGTTTCTAAAATCCTTAGCCTTGACAGGTGAGGCTAAGGACACTGCACTTAAGAGATGTCCAGCTGAGCAGGAGGACAAGCCTGCAGCAGCCCTCCAGCTTCGTGCAGTGACTTCTGCCAACAAGTGATTGAGCTTAGGAGGGCACCTGACTTGGATGGGACCCTGGTCCTGGCCACACCTCAGTTTCAGCCACATGAGATACCAAGCAGAGGACCCAGTGAAACTGTACTCTGATCCAGACCCGTGAAAACTCTGAGAAATGAAAGTCTTTCATTTTAGCCATTAAATTTGTGACAGTTTGTTGCAGAGAAATAGAAAACAACTAATGCACCTTATGATATCACAGGTTTTATACACTGAGCAAAGAATAAATAAGCCAAAGCTTAAGTCCTCTAAGTATAATTTTGACACTCATATGAAGCAAGAAGTATTTTGCAACAATTTGGACATTATTATCTTGGGAAAGGAATATGGAGTAACCCACATTTCCTGAATGCTATCAGCAGAAACTGAATCTGTGAGGATAGCCACTGTATCTGCAGGGATAATTGTGCAGCACCAGGAATGCAGTTTTTCCAGTGATGGAATGTTCTGGAAGCACATTGCTGCTGAGTCTCCTGTTTCAGGTAGTGACTGGTCAGAGAGAGGTTTGGGCCCTGGCTAGGGGCAGCACTCACCTATGTTTGACCCAAGTGTCAGACTCGCAGGCTCTTTCCGTGTAGTTCTCTGGCAGGAAGCCCCGGCAGCCCGTCCGCTGGGAGGTCCCGATGGCCCAACCCTCGCTGGCTTCCTCCTGCTGAGTGGGGTCCACAAAGATGTAGTCGCCAGGACTGAGCATCAGCTCGTCCACGTTCTGGGGCTTGTACTGGAACAGGACCTTCAGGGTCTAGAAAGGAGGGAAGTGGTTTCGTGTTTCCCACCAGGGTTTGCACTGGGAAGCAACAGCACTAGGAGGAGTGGTATAGTCCACATCTTGCTTTCTGGGTCCCTGATGTGTTCTGTGTCTCCAAGATGCCACCAGGCCTCTAATGACATCCAGCATAGAATATCGCAAAATACAGCAGCGCAGAATTCTTTGGGTAGATTTAGAAATAAAATTTTTCTTTTCTGCCTTGCTTGCTTGCTTGCTTGTTGCCTTCTTCCTTCCATCCACCCATCTATCCTTTCATCTATCCATCCATCATCCATCCATCCATCCATTCATCCATCATCCATCTATCCATCATCCACCATCTATCCATCCACTCATTCATCCATCATCTATCCATCCATCCATTTATCCATCACCCATCCATCTATTATCCATCCACTCATTCATCATCCATCTATCCATCATCCATCATCCATCCATCAATCTTCCATCCACTCATCCATGATCCATCTATCCATCATCCATCATCTATCCATCATCCATCCATCATCCATCCATCCATCATCCATCCACTCATCCATTATCCATTCATCCATTATCCATCCATCCATCATCCATCCACTCATCCATTATCCATTCATCCATTATCCATCTATCCATCATCCATCTATTCATCATTCACTTGCTTGTCATTCACAGCTTCTCCTGGGACAGGAGCATGGTGGACTCCCACAAGGGTTTGGACTGGGAAGCCACATCACGCTGATTCCCTGGCTCTGGAAGGAATGACACACGCTTTCTTCCCAAACCAATCAATTCACAGAGGGGAAAGCCTTGGAATCAGGCTCCACTCCATCATTACATGACATGATCTGATAAGCAAAACCTGCGTTCGCACGTTTTTGCAACAGTCCTTTCCAGATACTGTCAGCAATGCAGGATTTTGTCTTGATTGTTTTGCACACTTGTAGCTCACATCTTAACAGGTTGGTTCTGAGTGGCAAGAGTTTCGGAGGAGGAACAGCAGTCCTCTCCCACTCTAGAAAGGGGCTCCCCATGGAAGTGCTGTGGGGAAGGAGGTCATTGGTCCATTGGTCTCCTGTGGAGAGGGTCATGTCCAGCCACACTCCTGGGTCACAGTTGTCTTACCTGGTAGTGCACAAAGCGCATGTCCCGGGAGTACAGGGCCGCCGTCCACTGGCAGCTGTGGCCAGGGTGGATGGCTCTAGCCAGCTCCTCCAGCGTCCTCTGGTGGTGGGGGTAGAACTTGTGGGCCAGGGTCAGATGCAGCTGCTTGGTACAAGCCTTCACGGAGCAGTCTGGGAAATCAGGAACACGGGGCAGGCGGTTACCTAAGCAGCGAGCGCCACGTGCCCAAGACTAGGAAGCGCCTCTACACAGAGTGCCTCCTGCCTCTGCCCACCCTCCATCTCTGTGCTGAGTGACGTTGTAGGGAAGGGGGTTGGAAACCTGTAGGATTTTCAAGAAGGAAGGAGAGGAGGAGGTATAGAGAGGCGGTTGGTTAAGGGGTCAAGGCCATCAGTTGGCAAGCGGATTGCCCAAACAAAGGGCTTCAACTCTCAGGACTGGCTCTGGGCTCCTGTTGTGCAGGTGACTCAGTGGACTCTGGGGCCACAGCTGCAGTTCAAGGGCTTTTTGTTCCATGGAAGAGTTTCAGGAAGAAACTTGATCAGCAGAACTGGGAAGCATCAGGGTCTCCACATTCTCCTTGCTTTAGCCACATGGGAAGCCCAGGGAGTGGTGGAGCCGCAGGCCTTTCCGGGTGGCCTCTGCCCTCCAGGCCCCCTTCTGGAGCAGCCTGTATCCTATGGCAGCTTGGCCACAAAGTGCCGGACATGCTGGGGCAGCTGTCGGTGTCCTGTGGGGATGGCACAGACTTTGCTATTGGATGGGCCCAAGTTGAGGCCCCTCTGCCCTCTCGGCAGGGTGACCGTGGTCAGGTGTGGTGTCCTGACTCAGTTTCCAGCAGTGACAGACAGCCGTGACGGGGGGACAGAGCTGGCTCCTGGGGCGGTGCTGGGCAACCAGCCCACAGCTCAGTCTCCTGTGGGCCCAGAGTACCTGGTGGCCCCCTGCCACAAAGGTCACTTACAATCAGACAGGGGTGGTTGTTCCCCTAAGAGGACACAGAGCCTCCAGGGAGCCCTGGCCTGGCCCAGACAGGCCCTGCATGCCACAGGTGCTCCCTGAGGCCTCTAAGCCCGAGCTGCTGAGCTGAGTGGCCGAGCGGGCGAGTGTGGGTGGAGGGAAATTCCTCTTCTGACCCGTTTTCGGCAGCAGGGAGGGTGGCTTGCCACATGAGTCAGCCTGGCCTGGGAAAGACCCAGCCTGCTGTCATCAGGACACGAGAGCGAGTCACGAGGCTTGTGAATGGGCCCTTGTCTTTCCTCTCCGAGGCCCAGGTCTGGGGCTGTGTCTTGCTGGGGTGGCCAGTGTGGGCCTCCCACACTGCCCTGAGAAGGACTAGGGACACTCCTGAACTGTAATTGGCCACTCGTCAGCAAGGGAGGCCCCTCCTAGCCCTCTCAGGGTTAGGCTGAGAGCATGGCTGTGGAGAGCAGGACAGGGCTGGGTCAGGAGATGGACGTGAGGCTCCAGCCGGCTCTGTCCGCATGGTCCCCTGGTGGTGTGGAGCAAGGCAGAGCCACTAGCCCTGGTCAGCTCTGTGAGCTTCCTGTGGCCGCTGTGAGGGGTCGCCACAGATCTGGCAGCTTCAGGCAACAGAAATGCATCCTCTTGCAGTTCTGGAGTCCAGAAGCTGCCAGGGCTGTACTCCCTCTGAAGGGCCCAGGGAGGTCCTGCCCGCCTCCTGTGGCCTCTGGTCACATCATGCCCTTCTCTGCCTCTGTTGTCACAGGGCTGCTCTGTACATCTCTTGGTGTCTTCTTCTCTTGGTGTCAGGACACCGGTTGTTGCGCTGAGAGTCCACCCTGATCCAGGGTGACCGTGTCTGAACTAATTACATCTTGACGGAGCCCGTTTCCAAATAAGGTCCCATTCTGAGGTTCCTGGTGGACAGGGCTTTTCAGGGGACACTACTCAACCCAGGTCAGTGATGTTGGGCATGTATATTACCCTTAGTGGCCTCAGTCTCCCCACAACAATGCAGCTGATGAGGCCCACCTAGGGGCAGGGAGAGCAGGGGAGCCCCTGGGCCTGTCTGAGGACAGTGACAGGCTGCCTGGGGGCAGGAAGACCAGCTGTCCTCTGCAGGAGAGGGCACTTAAGGGCCAGCACTGATGGGAGTCTCACCAGTCAGGTCCCGATGCACAAGGCCGGGCCTCCTACCTGCCAAGACGGATGCTTCCGTGGCAAACGCCATGGCAAATTCCCGGATGACGTCTGCGGGGCCGTCGTTGATGAAGAAGCCCAGGTAGCTGACGGACGAGTGGAGAGCCAGCGGGACCGAGGTGGGGAAGGACCTCAGGGTCCTGTCCCCGGCTCTCTTCAGAGCTTCGTACAGACACTCCACCTTCTGGTCTTCACACTGGGGGAGACAGACAGGGAACCCGTGTCCTCAGCTCCTGCCGGGGAGCATCGACCGTCACCTAACAAGAATCCTGCTGCAACCAGCAGGGGACCCCGTTCTGTCCAAAGCCGTGGGGGAGGCCGCCTGCATCCCCGTGCATCTGGCCAGTGGGTTTGCCCATGCCTCGTGCTCATGGGTTTTGAAAAAAGGTGTTTCAGGTAAAATCTTTTCTTGGAATGAAATCTCCTTCAGGTGGCCAGGCGGGAAGTTCCTGGTCACTTCTGCCCTTCCCCTGTTGTACCCCCGGCCCCAGGTTTTCTCAGTTAGTGTGAGTCGGTTTCTGGAGGGTTCCAGCCAACTTCGAGGCAGTCTGGTGGGGGGCACTGCTCAGCCCACCCAGAGGGGATGGGGCTGGCGGGCCCTGGGGTTTAGTTCTGGGTCCTCAGACTCCCCAGAGGCAAACCAGAAGGCCTGGCAGACGCTTTGGAGGCATGCTTCAGGAGGTACCCCTGCAGGGAACAAGGGGCCCATCTCCCCTTCCTCTGGGGAAGTGGTGACCAGGGGAGGGGGCTGCCTTCCCTCCCTGTTGCTCCCAGCCTTCCTTCTCTCTCTAGCAGCCCCCGGGTCCCTCTCACCTCCCTGGTACCCTGTGAGGATGACTCTTGATCTTTTTCTAAATCAGAGGGCTGAGCTGTGAGCCAGGGAGAGCTTGACGTCGGTGGCTTGTTGACAACCACCCAGTCCTCAGCCTGTTTGCCACATATTTAGGAAGCCCTGACTCTGGCCTGGGCACTGTGCTGGTCTCCGGGTACCTGGCGTTCCCTGGGGGGCTCAGCCTGGGAAGGTGCAGCCCACACCTAACAGGACACGAAAACGGCACTAGATTTACAGATAGAAAGACGGGGTGGCGTGGGGGCAGCACCTCCTTCTGCCTGGGGAGAGGAAGAGGGACTGGAAAAGAGCTAGGAAACATGCACAGGGCCTGACGGGTGGAGAGCAGCCCCCCACGGAGCCACGGACACGGCCTTCAGGACCACCCCACTGAAACAGAGCAGCCGCGTCCCAGCCCCTGTCCCCTGTCCCCAGAGTGCTGCCATTGCGGCCACGGTCATGGGGCTCAAGGCATCGCGGCCAACTCACGGTGAAGAAGTCGCAGAGCGTCACGTGGGGGAAGACCTCGTGGGCTCGGTTCTTGGCACACTGACGCCTGCTCTCCCTCCAGAACTCCTGCAGCCTCTCCAGCAGGGGCCCCGTAGGGCAGAGGAAGAGGGCGTACTCCTGGGGGATGGGGTCGTCCAGGGAAGGGTCATTGCCGTGACAGCGAAGCCTACAGCAGAGAACAGGCCACATTTACCCAGCTTYGTGACGGGGAGCAGTCCCACCAAGGACAGGCCACAGCAGGGACAGGCCCCGTGAGGGGCAGCCGGAGCTCACAGCAGGGGCCTCACGTAGAGGGGACCTGTGGGCTCAGGCCTGGCTGGTCCCAGGCTCTCCTCCGTGTCACCAGAGGGGAAGGTGAAGCTGACAGAAGACGAGATAGAGCCTGCCATTCACATGACCTCAGAGCATCTATCTCTGTGGTATTAAAATTTTGTGGAAAAACACATTTTCATTTTCTCAAAAACTCCAGATTAAATGTGAAAATCAAAGCCACACACACACACACACACTCAAAAAGTAAGACTAGACACATTTAGATGGCTGTTCTATGTCTTCTGGTTCTGAGAGTTACTTTAAATACAAAGAAATATGACACACAACCCCCAAATAGGAGTTCATTGCCATGAATCATAAAAATGGAAATGCAAACAGCACAGAATCGTTTCTCTGAGTGTTGTCGGAGAGCGAAAGTCGGTGCTCAGCCCTGCCCGTCGCGCAGCAAGGCCGCAGGGCGAATCTGCGCGACCTCTGTGCGGGGGTTCTCCAAGAAGGCAGAGCCTCGGATTGCCTGCCTCTTGAGCTGCACTTCTTTAAATTTGTGCCAGGAAAGAAGCAAAAAGTATGAGGCCAAATTCCCACATGRAATACTGATTTGTAACGGGAAAGCAGGGGAGCGTGGCTGAATGGTGGGGAATCTGCTTATTGTGAATTCCCTGGAAATTATGGCTTTGAAGAATTTCTGGTGACTCAGGGCAGTGATGTGACGTAGTCTTAGTGTAGAAAGCAGTGTACAGATCCTGGGGAGACCTCAGTTATTTGCAGATAGTTTCTCCTTCATGTGAATATATGGATGAGGGGCCCCGACCCTTGGCCTCGCCCTCCCCTCCCTCCCTCTCTGGAGTGAACCCTGATGGTGGGCTTTGTTTCCTCCTGGGGATTTAAGCAAGCGCTGAAGAGACAGCACAGCTGTGTTTACGTAAATCCCAAGCTGTTGTTTAAATCACCGTGCCACTGAGGCCTGGTTTTGCAGGGTGGCCATGTCGGTGAGTGCACCCCTCACGGTCTGCACCCGTGGCTGTCTGTCGGTATGGCTCCTCAACAGCACCTGACATCCTGACACCCTTTGTTTTCATGGAATCTTACTTTCTTCTTTCCTGATTCCTAGGGAGAGGCCGGGTGCATTSCTGGCTGAGCCCCAGGAATCCGCTGTTCCTCCCTGGGGTCTCCCCGTCTATTGCCTGGGCTAACTGGCAGGTATGGACCCGGCCCCTCCCAGCCGTGGGCTGGGTGTTTGGTGCCACTCTGGTCCCTGGCTTTATGGTTGGACCAGCCCAGAGGGCTCTGGGGTTTCCCTGTCTGTGGGGGTGCTGCCTGTTTTCCCCTTCTGGGGTTTTGGAGGAGGAGGAGGGCGCTCCCCAGAGAAYGCTGGTCCCACTGTCAGTCTCTCCATCCTGTGCTGCGGTGGGCGCTGTGGCTGAGGGGACCTGGCTTTTATTGTTGCTTTTCACTGGGGCGACTGCAGATCAAGAGGGAGGGGTTTCCCACCTCGGGTGGAGCACGGCAGCAGGGCCCATGGAGCCCCCTCCATGTTTCCAGAGCAGAAAACAGGCCCGTGGCCATGGCTGTGGGTGGCTCACCGAGGGACCCACTTGGAGTGTGGAGCAGCTGATGGGGCCCAGRGCTCCCCTCCAGGGGTACGGTGCACACCTCAGGGGGATTCCCAGACACCAGTCAATTGCCCCCACCTCCAGGTAGCCCGAAGTGTGGGACCTCTCTTTTATATTAGCAGAAATGGCTCCTCCCTATTTATTCAACAAATCTCATGATTTTTTTTTTTCTGTGACAGTCAAGTTTGGATGAGGTAAAAAGTGTTTTTGTGCTGGGGATGGAATCTAGGGCTCACACAGGCCTAGCACGCACTCTGCCCCAGAGGCAGACCCCCTGCCCAAAGCCACATTTTTAGGTGAAACCATCTCTGTTCGAAGGTCTTCCTCTATTTTAAAGGAGGCTCTCCTCCGGTGCCCTGGTGCTGGGGGTGTGAACTGGGAGCCCACTTGGCATTTCCCCAGCAGCCCCTTCCTGCCCAGGGGACCCTGGCCACAGGGCACTTTGAGCCAAACCCTCTGTACATCCGGCCCCACTCACCACTCGGCCGCCTCCTCTGCTGTCCTCCTCCCAGTGGCCGCCAATGCTTTTAGCCTAGAGAGGAGTAAACACAGGTGCGCTCAGARCCACGCTGTCCACTTTGGAAAAGGGTCAGAGGAGCAGGTGTGGTCGGCCCCAGCATCCCTGCGCCTGTCTTGCTGAGGTCCCGGTCTCTGTCCTTTACSGGGCTGCCGCGTGGCTTTTGACAGTCCAACCTTCTCGGATCCTCCACGACTCTCCCTCCAGGGCTCCCTACCTCTATCTAGCTCTGGGCGACAAGGCCCATGCCCTCGGGGCCTGACCTCTGCCCCTCCTGAAGCACACTGTGGATGCTGGAGTTTGGCCTGGGCCCTGGGCTGGGATGCGTGCTTCCCTGGCAGATGCAGTGCACCCCAACATCTCTCCTTCTGGGGCAGCACCTCCTGCTGAGCTGCCCGGGCGGGCTGGCCACAGCCCCCGTCCCCTCCCTGCAACACAGAGGCCATCACAGCTCCCCCTGCCCTTCTGTGCCTTGTTCAGCCAGTGACCCCAGAGGGAGATGAGTTCAGTTGAATTTAGCTGAACTGGACCAAACAGAACAGAACAGGATGGATGTGGCCACTGCAGTAATTCARCATGTGATTCAGGTCCAGCTGGGCTCCCTGAGGACCCTGGGTCACTGCTGCCCAGGGCTGCTGCTGTTCCRGTACACACCGTGGGGACATGGCCACCTGTAGAGCCGATGATGGGGATGCAGAGATGCAGAGCCTCCTTGGGGGTGAGCTGGCTTAAGAGCTCCGACACGTGTTTATTGTGAARATGAGGAGGGATTTTGAGAGTGAGTTCACACTTGGGCAGTAAATACAGTRTGGGCACCAGGGGCATCAAGGGCTGGCTCAAGCCCTGGCCTTGCCGCCAGCTACCCCTCTGGGTGTTGGTGTCCTCGACAGCCGCAGCTGGACAGGGAGTACCGGCAGCAGGTGCTGTGTGTGAGCTACCTGATGTTGGCCAAGCAGGTGCCTCCTGCTCCACCCCCATCTCACAGACCCCTGGTTTGTCRCAGGCTTCATGGTGACTACAAAGCCCTCATGTGGGGGGAGACAAAGGGGCCTAACTTCAAAGATATTGCCCCAGTGTGTCGGGTGTTGCTCTGCCGTGGAAGAGAGCTTGTCCCCTCCCCAAGCCCCAGGTTACCTCAGAATATTTCTGATCAATTTCTCCCTGTGAATAAGAATCTGGAGAGGACCAGAGGGGAGACACGGGTCTGCTACGAGAGCTGCAGCCACTATCAGCATCACTTCTTTCCTCTGAGTAGGGTGACTCCAGGGTTCAAGTGTCCCCATGTGGACCCCTTCCCTGGGTAGCAGGGCAGCACTGGTGCTGTTTCTGTGATTTCTCAGCCACTCGGTTTCATCACTGACATCCAGGGGACGTTCCCTGGAGGACGGATGGTCTCCCTGTGCAGTTTGGAAACTCTCTGATGGTTCTCAGCAGGACCTGGCCTTAGAGGCTCACAGAGGACCCAAGATCCTCCCAACCCCCATAAATGGAGGCAGCCACAGCAACACGTGGCTTCTAGTGTGCACCCACTTCAGGGTCCCCCAGGAGCCGGCCGGCAGCGTTGGTCTTTCAARGTCAAGACCATCTCGTGTAGAGAAAGCAGAGAATGACCTTCTCTTGAGACACCACCTGCACTGCAGGGCGGCCACTGCAGCAGGAAGCCTGTGCCACAAGCCCCTCCAGAGCTGTGTCAGGGGCTGCAGGAGGGTGGGCTCAGCCCAGAGCAGGGCTCCSGGGTTCCGCAGCCACAGTACTCACGCGGTGTGTGCTGGGACGCCCGTGGCCAGGAGGGGGTCCAGGAGCGAGGGGAGGCTGCGGCCCTTGAGCTTGTTGGAGACCTTAGCATAGAGTTGAGTCTCTCCCGCTGCCATCTCTTCCTGCCTGTGGTGCAAGAGGCGCCTGCTCACTGCCGCGAGCAGATAAAGTGAGAGGAGAGGGGGAGGCCTCTCTTTTTACTTGTGAAGAAAAACCTCAAGCCTTTCTGGTCTTCTGACACAACCCCATATCCTGTTTGCACGATSGTTGGTCTTCAGCCTTCTCTCTGCGGGTGTTGGCTGCAGGCGCGACACCCTACCTGCTTCCACCGTGGGTCTGGTCTGGAAGGCCCTCCAGGGCCCTGCACGGGATGTGCATCTGTGCCTGGGAAGCTTTCGGGGGCACGGATATGTGAGAGCCTGGAGGAAGGAYGGGGAAGCGCCAGTCAGGGGCCAGGTTCTCTCCTGGGTCCCACCGGTCCTGGCCACCTGTGTCTCAATCTCCATGGGTGCAAACAAGACCTTTAACTATGCTGGACCTACGGGCTCTAAAATTTTCTGGTTCTTTTAGTATTCACCAATTTGTACTTTAATTTTAAAAATTGTTCTAGAACTTTCCAGAACCTCAGAAGCCCCCTTGACCCGCCTAGCCACCTGGTGTCTATCTCCTCCTCCCCTGCAGAGGGAACCACTGTGCTCTCTAGCACAGCACTGGCCTGTTTTTGAGCCTCATGTGTATGGAACCCTATAGTATATGCTCTTTGATGTCCAGTTCCTTTGYCAGGTTTTTAAGAGATTGACCCACATCAATCTTGCAGATGTGCCTAATTTGCCATCATTGCTGTGTACTATCTAGTTAGATAAGCATGATGTCACTCATCTCTATTGATGACGATTTGCCCTCTAGCTAGCAGAGGACAAAGGTGCTCTGCACCTTGGCTCACCCTTGCCACCGCTAGCCATTTCACCTTCCACATCCTGGCGGAACGCTGTGGGCCTCTCACCGTGCTTGTCCCTGTGTTTCCCTGGAGGACACCCGTGTGGGCCACCGTGTCATAGTCTTACTGGCTATTAGAATATTCTCTTTGGGGAAGCCCCTCTCCAGATCTTCTGCTCATTGAGCTCATTGTGAGGTTTGCTTTTGCTTATCCACTGGTGGGAACTCTAGTTAGTGTCTTCTGCATCCCGTTCACAAAATTTCTTTCTGTGCACATTGAGGAGGGTAGTCTCCTGGGCTTTGTGCCAGGAACTTCATTACTTTCACCATTCGTAGTTAGCTCTACGGTCTGTCTGAAGCAACTTACATGGTGTGAGGTTGGGAGAAAGTTTAGTTATTTTCCCATTAGTGAGATCATAACATGCCCAGTGAATCTCAGCACATATTTCTGTGAGTCACGTGACTGGCCACGTATTAGACTGTTTATGGTTCTTTTGGTCCTCTTTTTCCATTGGCCCATATGTGAACTCATTCTATGCTGCTTTATTACTACAGGGGTAAGTTCTCTGACTTTTTTTTTTTTCCTTCAATATTGTCTTGGCTGTCTTAGGTCCTTGCTGTCTCACCTAAATTTAGTTGGTGAGGGGTGCAGAAAGACCCACCTGTGTGGCCCACTGATTTTCAACAAAAGTCAAAGGTCACCTATTAGGGAAAGGGTAGCCCTTCAGGAAATGGTGCTGGGAAAGGGCCCGTGGGCATGGGCTGAGCCTGACCCTGGCTTTGCAACACACACAAAGTTCATTCATATTTATGATGGACTTAGAGGTAAAAATCTAACACCATAACATTCTAAAAGAAGGACTTTGGTGTCCTAGAGTTTGCCAAGCTTTCTTAGGACATAAAAAATAAACTTTAAAACAAAAAGTGTGATGATTGGGACTTTATCAAAATTGYAAACTTCTACTCTTGTCTTCTATATCACCCTTCTCCCTCCCTCCCTCCCTCCCTTCCTTTCTTCTCTTTTTTACATTTTTTAAAATTTTTGGCTTTATTGAAAGACACCATAAAGACAAGCTGCAGACTGGGGGAAATGTCAGCACACACATACCTGATGTAGGACTTGTGTTCAGAACACACTGAATATTACCCATAGGAASGTGTTGCATTGTATCAATGAGAACGAGCCAGTTTAAAAATAGCTAAATATCAAAATACACATTTGACAGAGAAGATGCGTGAACGGGCATCGTCAGCCGTCAGAGGAGGAGAGCGACATATAGATGAAGAGTGGAAACCAGAGGACGAGACACCCGAGGTGCCCACGACTTGGGAGAGCATTTGGGCTGTTTCTCACAGAGGTGAAGGTGCATCCACCACATGACCAATGCTGCCTGGAGCGTCCTACCAGGGAGAATAAAAACGTGTGTCCACGTAAAGACCTCGTGTGCACGGGGAACAATCCAGACAGCGCCAGACAAACCCAGCTGGCGACCAGACGGGCAGACCAGGTGGGCACGTCCCCAGGGGGCTTCAGCAGACCCAGCTGCCCAAGGTGAGCGGGAAGAAGGTGAGGCCAGGGGACAGTCAGGCCAAGGGACGCGCCTCCCTCTCAGTTCTCCTGAACTTGGTGTCTTTGCTTTCGTAAGTGCTGAAAAGATTTACCAGTGAAGTCATCGGGCCTAAAACTTTCTTTGTTGGGAAGTTTTAAATTTTAATTTACTTCAAGGGTATAGAAGTCTCCTTTGTGGTTCTATTTTATTAAATTACTTTTTAAGAAATATTTTATGGAATTGTCAAATTTCTTGGCCTAGAGTTGCCAGGCTTTAATTTTTTTTTTAAGCTTTGTTACAGAGTTTTCTGTATGGAGATCTTGTGGTGTTTACTAGATCATTCTTAGTATTTGGGAACTTTTGATGCCGCTCATCGCTTTAGAATGTTCATACTCATACTCTTTGTGGTTGATAAATCAATGTGCCATTGACTTTATATTATTTTTACATGGACTGTATATCCAAAAGTCCTTCTGGATTTGTTCTAATAATTTATTTTTAGCATTTTAAATGTATTTTATGTACAAAATGAGACTGAGAGTAAGTCTAGTTTTCTTTCTTATCAGTGCTTATGACTTTGCATCTTACACTTCTCTCTTCCTTCTTCCCTCCTTCCCCAGCACCCTCCTCCCTCCCTCTTTCCCTTCCTTTCTTCTCTTTTTTACATTTAAAAAAAATTTTTGGCTTTATTGCACAGGTTTGGACCCTCATAGATGCTGAAAAGAGGTGATTATAGTGCACAGCTTAGAGGAAAAGGGTTTGGCATTTCACCTTTAAATGTGAGTTTATGATATTTTTATAATATGCTTTTTAACATTCTWTTTTTGTTCTTTTTCTGTTTTATCTTTGATGCTGGYGATCAAGCCCAGGGCCAGGTGCATTCTAAGTCCACGCTACACCCAGGAGCCAGGTCCCGGCTGCATCGATGCTTTGAAATACACGGTGAAATGGTCACTCTGCTGAAGCGGATGAGCATCTCACATGGTCGCCTTCCTGCTGTGTGTGTGGCCACGGCACCTAAGTCTTTGGATAGCTCCCTGCATCCAACACAAGGTGGGACCAGGCAGTCGGACGGTAGTAGCTGTGGTGCTGGCTGGACCCTCCTCCTGGCCGGCTCCTCCTTCCCATGAGGGCGGCCCTGGGTCTGTCGGTCCACAGCTCTCTCCCCTCACCCCATGCTACCCTGGGAAGCACAGCCTTTCTCTATGCATTCAAGCTTTTGCTTTTCTTGTTTTGTAGATCCCACACAAGCGAGACCGTGAGCCTGGTGTGTTACTAGCGTAATGTCCTCCAGGTCTGTTGTCCTGTCTCTTTGAGGGGCCTGAGAGATGAATAATTCTATAACCAAATGATTTGATCTTGAAAGTGTTGAAACAGACAAAGCTTGTTACTCAGAGGAGGAAAAAGATGCGTGGGCTGATAAGTACCCTCTATCCAACTATGCTTTTCTCTTCAAAACCATAAACCCTTCCTGAAAGGTTAGAAACGTTAAAATGTTTCTACTCGTCTCTTTTTTTTAAATATTTTTTTTAGTTGTAGTTGGACACAATATCTTTATTTTATTTTTATATGGTGCTGAGGATCAAGCCCAGTGCCCCACGCATGCCAGGCGAGTGCACTACCACTTGAGCCACACCCCCAGCCCCTCGAGTCGTCTCTTAGAAGAATAACTGACTGGTGTCAGCCGGGAAAYGCCCTGTCCCGCTCGGTCCCTTCTTCTTAACTAGGAAATCTGTCTCCAACAGAGAAAGGAGAAGACCCCAATGGACAGCGTCTCCTCTGACTCAYGGAAGAGGTGACAAGCTGAACACAATGGTTCCAACGCTTCCCTTGAGTGCCCAGGAGACTCCCCAGGACTCTCAGGGCTCCACCCCATGCCCCTGGAACATTGCTTCATGAGGCCGGGGGCCAGCCCGGCTGCGCTTCTGTTCCTGGTGGGCTGTTTTGAGCTTGATGGAACTGGTTTATGCCTGACCTTTTGGGGAGGTACTGTGCAGCCACCCTCMTGACCACGCTGGGCAGCGGGGTGAGCGTTGGCCTGCTCTGGCTCTGCTGTTAAGGTGCGCTCATGACAGGGCCTTGAAAGAGTCCTGCAATAAAAAAAAAAAAAAATAAATAAATAAATATAAAACCAAAAAAAAAATTAAAATAAAATAAATAAAATTGAATGTTTAAAATAAAAAAAAAAAGGTGCGCTCATGGTGGCTGTTGGTCATCTGTGTGTCTCTTCAGTGTCCTTTGCCCACTTTGGTTTTTGATCCCATTGGTATCTACGGGCCCCCATCGCAGTAACCATGGTGCCAGAAGTATGGGGCTGTGAATGGAGAATGTTCCAGACTGTCCTCTGAGATACTCCACCTGCAGCACACAGGTCAAAGCTAGAGACTCTCCTGTCCCAGTCTCGGGGGCAAATGATTGCCCAGGACTGTAGTGATTAGAAAGAGGTAAGGAGGGAACCTGACCTTGGGGRACCTCGGTGAATCCAAGACCTGGACAGGGGGTGGGCAGGGACGGGGAGGCGGAAAACTGGCTGAACTGAACCCTGATTGGCTGAGAACGGCTCTTGGCTATGGCCCTTGGCAAACCCGACCACCTCTACCTCCTTGTCCAGCCCAACCCTGACGGTTCCCACCATGTTTGCCATTAGCCCTGGTCCAAGTCACAGCCTTGAGTCACTCTGCAGCAGCCTCCCGCAGCCGCCTGAGTGCCCACCCTCATTGTGCTTTCCTCCTGTCCACCTGGCTACTGGCTCACGTCCCCTGTGGCCTCCATCACACAGAAAGTGAACTGAAATCCTTCCTGAGGTCCCGGCCCCCATGCCTGTGTGCTGGCCTGGCTAACTTTGCCGCCCAAGGCCTCCAACTCCTCTGTCTCCCAGCCTGGGGCCCTCTCTGGGGGCCTGGGACTCTCCAGTGTGTCCTCTCCCTGGGCTCCTCAGGACTCACATTGTCCTGTCACCTCCTTTCTAGAGCCGGTCCTGAGCCACCCTCTCCCCCTCCTCTTCTCGTCATCTAAGGCCACGGGCGAGGGCTCAGTGTCCTGCTGTCTGCTCTGCTCCAGACGCCTGGCTCCTGGTGGACATGGCCAGTCTGCGTGAATGAACGTGGGAAGGCAGGACTCCCACCCTGCCGCTCCACCTGGACGGGCCTCTTCTCGCCCCTCCTCCCACGCAGGGTGTCCTCTCCTCTGGAGCATCTGCAGGCAGAAGCCTGTGGGGACGCAGTGTCCCTATGGATCAGAGCCCAGCATGGCCGCACAGAGCTTGCTGCAGTGAGCACGCTCAGCCTGTCTTTTGTCCATAGCGGGGGGGGGGGGGGCAGGACCCAACCAGGCGCAGTAGCCTAGAGGGATAGCATTCCCTCCAGGGGCTCCCTGACCCTCTCCTGGCTGCCCGAGCAGCCCTGGGCAGGGCTCCTGAGGCCTTTCCAGCAAGTGGTGCCCTGCAGAGCCCTCTTGTGCAAAGCCCCTCGAGCGGCTCCCTCACACGCGCCCCTCCCCCTCTGACCACACCAGCCAGGGCTACCTGATAGCCACGTCCAGGTTGGGTTACACAGGCACGGCAGCAGTGCCATTGGCCACGATGACCAAGGCGACAAGGCTGAGTGACCTGGTGAAAGCCTCCTCCGGCTGGACTCCCCCTTGGCYGGCTGTTCACCACTGTGCCTGTTTTTATAATGAAAAAGAAAATTATTTCTGCTTTGAGTGATGGCGGCTCCAGAAATGGTGAGTGAGGGCCGGGGAGGGCCGGGGAGAGGCTGCTGCAGGCGCCGCCCTCGGAGGGAGTTTTTCCATGAATTCTGACCCCTTTAGGAAGATAAACTGCCTCATCTGCCACAGGCTGATAATGGGCAGAAGCATCAGCAAGAAGCAAAGCCGGGCTCGGCCAAGCGCGAGCTGGTTAATTTTCTAAGATATTCCTCCAAGTCCCTCCCGCGATGCAGGGAAATGACCGTGTTTGGCCCGCAACTCTGAGCGTGTGTCAGACCTGTGGAGCCAGGCTCGCTGTGCGTGGCTGGTGGCTCCCTTTGGAATTTCAGTGTCAGAACGGGCARCGAGGAAGGAAGGGAGGGCAGACCAAAGGCCCCCGTTTGCAAGCCTGTGGGTTCTCCGGGTCTCAGCTCTGGGGCAGGTTCCTCGCCAGCCCACACCTGACACCGGAAGAGAGGCCTGCCATTTATCTACCTGCAGGGCTCTGCCATTTCCTGGCTCCTGGGGTCCCTCCTGGAGTGGGGGAGTGACTGAGATGGCCTCAGCCCTCCTGTCCTTGCCACGGAGTTCTCTTGGAGAAGAGCAGGTGTGGCTGCCCAGGTGTGACCGAGGCCAGAGCTCCTGGCTGCCTGGCTCTGTGGGGAGCACTGGGCCCCAGAGGCCCTGAATGCTCCCATCCTTAACTAGGTCACCTCTGTGGGAGCCAGGAAAGGGCGTGATTGGGGACACCACGTTGCTGCTAACACGGTGGCGGGCGCCCTTCCTTGGTGCTGGCTACCTTTGGGGAGTGTGGAAACCTGTTGTTTGTGGCAGGAGTGTCACAGGGCCCAGGGGTCTGCACATGGGGGTGGGTGAAGACAGTCAGAACGACTTTGAAAGTAGTTTCTCAGCTGAGGCACAACACAGGACTGCTAATGACCAAGGGGCATCTCCCCCCAAGAGCCTTTCGATTGATGCCAAGCAGGTTAAACGGGCAACGGGAAAGCCACTCTCGTAAGGGAATCAAGTTTTTTTGCTCTTTTTTTCAACTCTGTGGCAAAAATAGCTTCTCTGTGGTTCAGAATAAACAACAACAACGAAAACCCAGATGTGGAATTGATCAAGATCAGGTTTGAAATGTGACAAAGATACTTCTGACAGTGGAGCTTCGGGTGGGGAATGAATGTCTCTGTTCTCCTCGGCTAAAGGAGGTGGAGGTGGAGGTGGAGCCAAGCCTCAGAGGCCCTGAGATAGTCACCATGGGGGAAAACGACCCACCGGCCACCGAGGCCCCCTTCTCCTTCCGCTCACTCTTTGGCCTTGATGATCTGAAAATAAGTCCTGTTGTGCCAGGTAGGTGGAACCAGGTGAGACCCTGCGGTGTCCACAGAAAGATGACGACTATGGCCGAGAGTCCCTCCTTACGTCCGCCTGCCCGGCAGCTGGCCGCCCGCCTTTCCCAGGGCTGCCGGATCCCAGAGAGAAGGGGGACAAGGAGGGACTGTCTCCTTCAGCTGCTTGCTGACTTGCTGGAGGCTTTTGGAGACGGGGGCTCCACAGCTGTCCTGGTCAATCCTGGAAGGGTCAGATCCTGGCCAGAAAACCTCTTGGGCCTCCAGGAAGTCCTGAGTAGCAGTGGCCCCCAGTCCTGCCAGAGAACTTCTGCCTCTGACTGCCTTCAGCCAGGACAGGGGAGTGAGTGTAGGTCAGGGCAAATGCCCATCAAGTTTGAGTGTCTACATTTGGTCCTGACGGAAGTCGGCCGACCCTTTTCTGTGTCACTGAAGTTTCTCTGCATGTTCTCCCACGGGCTTTTGCCATTTCTCATTCTGGTTTCCCTCCGTCGGAGGCTCAGGCTGTCCCCGGGTGCCAACATGATACACGGTGCTCTTCTCAGGTCTTAAGGCAGACTTTGCGTGGGTCTAGGATGACGGTTGGATGGAGTCCTAGGAGGAGCAGAGCTGGGGCACCAGTTCCCCAGCTTTCTGGCACCTCTCTCCCTTTCAGCCCAGGGAGGCCAGCCTGCCGTGCCCCCTGCTGAGCGCAGTGTGAGGCCGTGGCGCTGCTAGCGGCCAGGGCCCTTCTCAGAGGCTGGCCTTTCTCCCACTGACCATTTGCACCCCTCTTGCAGAGAGGCTTTTGGCTTTTCACTCTGTCCTGTCCCCGGGACATACAGGGTCGGGTGGGGCTACCGCAGCTCCCACGGCACCTTGGGGGCGGAGGAACTGCCGGCAAAGGGGGGCTGATGCAGTCTCCCCCTCGGTGTCCGTCTTGATCCCACACTGGGAGTCGATTCCTAAATCTAAACACACACCCCAGCAGGTCACACTTGGGGTTCCTGCAGACACTTTTAATGGTGGACGTCTCAGTAGACATGAGTGGATTTGGAGCAGACTCCTTCTGGGGGTGGGATGAGGGTAAAGAGAAACCCCTGCTGGCTCAAAGCCTTAGATGTGTCACCATGAAAGGAACTGGCCTCCCATGTTGTGTTAAAACTGTTTCCATTATCAACATGTCATTCACCTACCTACCCATCCACCCATCCACCCACCTACCCATCCACCCACCCATCCACCCAACCACCCACTCATCCTTTCACCCACCTACTCACCCACCCACTCATCCATCCATCCACCCACCCACCCACTCATTCTTTTTTTTAGAATTTTAAAAAAATTGTTCTAATTAGTTATACAGGACAGCAGAATGCATTTTGACACACTGTACACAAAGGAGCACATCTTCTCCGTCCTCTGGCTGTGCATGGTCAGAGTCACTCCAGTAGTGCACTTACACAGGTATGTAGGGTAACAATGTCTGACTCATTCTACGGTCCTTCCCATCCCCACTGCCACCCCTCCCCTCCCTCGCCTCTGCCCAAGCTAAAGTTCCTTCATTCTTTCATACCCTCTCCCCCTGCCCCACTATGGATCAGCATCTGCTTATCAGAGAAAACATTCAGCTTTTGGTTTTGGGGATTGGCTTATTTCACTTAGCATGATGTTCTCTACTTCCATCTGCTTACCCACAAATGCCATAATTTTATTCTTCTTTAAGGCTGAGTGCCACGGTCTTGGCTGGGCACAAGATCATGAGCCACTCACACCTTGTAGATTCAAACAGCAATTCTTTATTCCCGAACTCACACCGGCCCTCTACAAACACGTTCTGGGGAAATCCAAGTTCTGCCGCACAATTCACGTCCCAAATACTTTCTGAATTCCACGAGAACTCAACGGGAACTCAGGCAGCAGGAACGCCTTATTCCCAGCAGCAATAACCTTAAACCGGGAACTTCCCTAAACCCAGATTGTCTTAAACCGGGAACGCCCTAAATTTGTGTTAAACCGGGAACGCCTTAAACCCAAGGAGCGTGATACTTCCTCAAACCTGCAGGATACACCTTAAACCTGGATCCACCCTGGTCCTTGAGCAGGGTCACCTTTCTCAAACACACATGCAAGGTCACAGCGGATTTCCAAGGCAAGTCCATTTAACATGGGGTACGCTGGCAAGGAAATTTCGATGCGTCATTCCTACTTGGCAATGGCCCTCAGCAGCTGAGTAATATTTAATTTTGTATATAGCACATTTTCTTTATCCATTCATCTGTTGTAGGTCACCTGGGTTGGTTCCATAGTTTAGCTATTGTGAACTGAGCTGTTATAAACATTGATGTGGCTGAGTCACTGTAGTGTGCTCATTTTAAGTCCTTTGGGTATGAACCAAGGAGTAAGATAGTTGGGTCAAATGGTGGTTCCATTCCAAGTTCTTTGAGGACTCTCCATACTGCTTTCCATAGTGGTTGCACCAATTTTCAGTCCTACCAGCAGTGTATGGTTGTGCCTTTTCCCTACATCCTCACCAACACTTATTATTGCATGTATTCTTGATAATTGCCATTCTGGCTGGAGTGAGATGGAATCTTAGAGTAGTTTTGATTTGCATTTCTCTAATTGCTAGAGATGTTGAGCATTTTTCATATATTTGTTGATTGATTATATATCATCTTCTGAGAAGAAGTTCAGTTCCTTGGCCTATTTATTGATTGGGTTATCTTTTTTTTGTTGTTAAGTTTTTTTGCTCTTTATATATTCTGGAGCTCAGTGCTCTATCTGAGGTGTATGTGGTAAAGATTTTCTCCCAATCTGTAGGTTCTCTCACTATCTTATGGTTTCCTTTGCTAAGAAGAAGCTTTTTAGCTTGAATCCATTCTATTTRTTGATTCTTGATTTTACTTCTTGTACCTTAGGAGTCTTGTTAAAGAAGTCAGGTCCTAAGCCGACATGGTGAAGATCTGGGCCTACTTTTTCTTCTGTTAGGCACAGGGTCTCTGTTCTAGTGCCTAAGTCTTTGATCCACTTTGAGTTGATTTTGTTCAGGGTGAGAGATAGGGTTTAATTTCATTTTGCTACTTATGGATTTCCAGTTTTCCCAGCACCATTTTTGAAGAAGCTATCTTATTTCCAATGTATGTTTTTGGTGCCTTGGTCTACTATGAGATATCCATTTTTATGTGGGTTTGTCTCTGTCTTTTATTCTGTACCATTGGTCTGTGTGTATGTTTTGGTGTCAATACCATGCTGTTTTTGTTACTATTGCTCTGTAGTATAGTTCAGGTTGTGGGATTGTGACACCTCCTGCTTTATTTTTCTTGCTGAGAATTGCTTTGCCTATTCTGGGCCTCTTATTTTTCCAAATGAATTTCATGATTGCATTTTCTAGATGTATGAAGAATGTCATTGGGATTTTAATAGGGATTGCATGAAATCTATACACAGTTTTGGTAGGATGGCCATTTTAACTATATTAATTCTGCCTATCCAAGAGCATGGGAGATCTTCTTTAATTTCTTTCTTTAGTGTTCTGTAGTTTTCATTGTAGAGGTCTTTCACCTTCTTTGTTAGATTGATTCCCAAGTATATATATATATATATATATTTGAGGCTATTGTGAATGGGTCCACCCATCCATCCATCCATCCATCCATCCATCCATACACACATCTAATGAGTATTTATCAAATGCTGCTGTTCAAGGCACTGGGGATACAGCCAAGAACAAGCTGCTCAGCCCATTCAGGCCAAAGACAAAGCCCTTGCTGTTCATTTCTAGTCTCTGAGTGGGTGATGATCATCTGCCTTCTACTTCTCTGTGCCCTCTGACCCTTTCCTTCAGCTTCCTCTTTTCCCTCCCATTTTATTTGTTTTTTACCATTTTTGTCTTTGAATTCTGTCTTCAGCTGCCTGAGATGATACTGACCATTTTTAATCACACTCTGTTGCTGGGGGTGAAGCTGTGGTTCCCGATGCAGGCAGGGAGGTCTGTCCAGGTCTCCCCTGGGCAAGTTCCCACTCCAYGTCTCCAAGACTAGGAGAAGGGGGCAGGTGCGAGACTCCCCCCACCCCGCCGGGCAGGGGTGATCTTCCACAGGCTCTCTTCCCTTTGGGGTTCCTTCCTTCCTCGTTGTTAATGAACATGACGTCAGCGCAGCTGTGAGGTAATGTGTGTGAAATGACTGCTCTTCCTGATAGGAGGAGCGACAGTGGAACTACTCTTGGTGCCCGAGAGGCGGGCACTTCTGGGTATCTCAGTGCTCTTTACATTTACGTTTCCACCAAATCTGCTGGTTCCGTGGGCAAGACCTGTGAAGGGCCTGAAGTTTCACCCTCTCACGAGCTAACAGGTTGGCCTGCCACAGAGACAAGAGAGTCCTGTGTTGGAGACAGGGACACCTGACTCAGCACAGCGGGTGGCTTGAGCATCCAGTCTGTGCCTGCTGCTCCGGTCACCACCCTCAGCTCCAGAGTTGGGGAGCAGCCAGGTGTAGACTGCGCATGCGGGAGGTTTGCGTCACAGCCGGAGGACCTGTAGTTAAGGGCACCCTGATATTTGTAACGGGCTGCAAGCTGAACTGTGTGAACTTTGCTCTGGAAAAAGACATTTAATTTATCAAACTGGGCAGTGAGCAAACCGGTCCTTGCCCCGAGGGTCTGCTGCCTCTGTTTCCCAAGGCCACCAGCTCCACACACATCCTCGGAGAGAGATCAAGAACAGAGGCTGTCGGTGTCTGTGCAAGAACAAGGAGAAGTGTGTCCCTGTCCTGCCTTGGGGACTCTCTGGGAGTCTGCCTCAAGGACCCTGTCTAGGATTTACACACTGTCCTCTTCTACAGAGACACATCCTTGGGACTGGGGCTCCTTCTCCCTCTGCACCAGTGTCCTGGGGCTATGGAACCCAAGGGTGACTTAAAAGAGCCTGAATTCATTGTCTCCCTTCTGGGGACCAACCTAGGACAGCAGCAGGGTGCCTCCTTGGGAACCTGTGGGGCCCTCCCTGGCCGCTCCCAGCTTCTGGCCACTTCCGGCCACCTCCTGCATTCCTTGACTTCCGGGCACATCATGCTGTCCTCTGCCCCAGCTGCTCCCTGTGTCCCTCCCTGCCATCCTCCTCTATGCATGTCTGTCTCAGTGTCTGACTTGCCCATTTGTAGGACTTTAGTCACATTGGGTCAGGCCCACCCCCTGGGCAGCATCTTGAGTTGACTGCTACAGAAAAACCCMAATAAGGGGRCATTCAGAGGCCTGGGGGTRCAGAGGTCAACCTGTCCTTCTTGGYCCACCATTTAACCCTCACTCCATCTTTCAGTCCAGGATGGACAGACTGGCTGGACTGGGACCGGGAGCACAGAACTTCTAGAGAATGTGGCCCTTTATCTAATTAAGCCACCTTCCTGGGGGTGCGTTTGCACTGGGGGGACGAGTGGCTAAACTCTGAGATTTGTTGCTCTGGTGCTCTGTGCCCCCCTTGGTTTTCAGATGCAGACGCAGTGGCAGCCCAGATCCTGTCTCTGCTGCCCTTGAAGTTTGTTCCAATCATCGTCGTGGGGATCATTGCGTTGATCCTGGCGCTGGCCATTGGTCTGGGCAGTGAGTACCGTCCATTATTCAGCAGGCTCTCGGATGCTCCTTCTAGCACTTACACTTTCATGTGCTTCCTCACTCCAGGGTCTTGCTGCCCTCAGCCTTAGCTACTGGGGGCTGCTGTCCCTTTGGTTTGCTGACGGGGGGGGGGGGGGCTCTGTTTACCTGCATGAATGCAAAGCCTTGAGGGTAGCTGGCCTACTGCCATGTGGTTCTCTTTGACCTTGAACCCTCCAGAGTCTAAATTCATGTTTAGTTGTGCTTCCAAGGCCAGGCCACATAATAAGACCAAGTGGGATGCAGCCCCTCCCTCTGGAATTCAGCACAAAAGCTGGTCTGGAAGAAACAGGCCACAGAGGAGGATGCAATTTCAAGACAGGTTTCATTATTAATGGGCTAGTCAGCGCCACGTGGCAGGTGGACAGTTGATAGTGTGGTGCACTGACAGAGCTGCTTGCTCACATTCCTGCCCTCTTCCCTTTCCTCAGTCCACTTCGACTGCTCTGGGAAGTACAGATGCCGCTCATCCTTTAGGTGTATTGAACTGACAGCTCGATGTGACGGGGTTTCTGACTGCAGAGATGGAGAGGATGAATTTCGGTGTGGTAAGGTGCTGCCTGCTGACTGCAGGAACAGGAGGGGGTYGGCAGGACCAGCTCGGACCCTCCCACCTGAGGCCTTTCCTCGGTCATGGTCATGCCTGTCCTCAGCCAGGATTTAGCTATCACTAGGCCCTGGAGATGATGGGAGACCAGGGAGGGCTGAGGAGCTGGGGAGGCTACAGGAGCAGAGAGGCCAGGCCTCCAGGAGGCCTCGGGGCAGACAGGAAGGCTGCCCCTGCTCTGTGGGGAGGCAGCTGTGGGTGGGCCTCAGGCCAGATGTGGAGGGGGAGGGCTGGAGCTGGCCTTAGAGCAGTCTCTGCCCAGGCCTCAGCCTGCATGGCCGCTCACAGACCTTCCTCCCCCACGGCCAGTCCGGGTGAGCGGTCAGAACGCCGTGCTGCAGGTGTTCACGGCTGCTTCGTGGAGGACCATGTGCTCCGACSACTGGAAAGGTCACTATGCGAACGTCGCCTGTGCCCAGCTGGGGTTCCCCAGGTAAGTTCAGGAGCGTGTCCACCCCAGGCCAGGCAGCGAGAGTGCAGGTCACCGCAGGTAGCTGAGCACCTTCTGCTTAGCTGTGAGCCAGCATCTCTAGAGCAGCAGCCCAGACAGCCCAAGTGATCCGCTGAAGTCGCCCGGGAAGCCGCGTGGGGGGTCCTCAGGGTCAGGCCAGGACCCCGGATGCTTGCAATGAGTGCTTTGGAGTTGAAAAACGATGGCTCTGGCTCCCCACTCCACAGCCGGGGGGCAGAGGTGGACACGGCCTCCTTGCTCCTGGTGGCCACCTCAATGTCTGTGTGTTCTTCCCGAGAACCCTGCAGCACTCATCTCTTAAAAAGCCAGAGGTGTGAAGGACAGGGGTTGAGACACTGTTTAGCCACAGGCAGAAGAAAGACGGGCAGGGGATCCTCTGCTTCGTGGTCAGCTTGCGTCTGGGGCTGGGGCGCTGGGGCACACCTCGGCCCGACACGGCCGCCCTCCTTGTGACTCCTCACGGCTGCTGCCCCTCCCTGGTGCCCTGGCCTCGCCTCACTGCCCTTCACTYGGATTCCCCGTGTGCAGGGGCAGCTCCTGGGTTCCCGCTCCTCTTAGGGACTGGGCAGGGTCGGTTCTGGTCAGCGTGGGCTGCAGCCCTGTTTGCACCTCAGGAAACCCGGGCCTCCAAGCCTCGCAGCTCTGACCTTCCACAGAGTCCTGGTTTCACACCCCGTGCRTCCCGAGCACTGCTACAGTCGCTCCCACAGCTGCCTTGGAGAGTTACGTGGGCTCTAYGCGCAGAGACCTGCAGGGACAAGTTCACACCCCACACGTGCACACACACACACGCACACGCACACACATGCACACGCACACACACATGCAGCACACACACACGCACACACATGCTCCCACGTGCAGCACTGGAGAGCTAGCTTCCTGGGGTGGTTTCTGCTCCTGCTCCTGCCTCTTCCTGCTTTAGCCCCCCTCTCTCTGCTTCCTCCCCCTGGACTGTCCCCCACCCCCAAGAAGCCCGCCCCCTCCCTCCCCTGCAGTCCTGATCAGCCTGTGTCTCCCACCCCAGGCTCCCTGCTCTCTGTCCTGCCCATCTGTCGCCTCCATTGCTCAGACCCACTTTGCATTCTCGCTTCTTCCTATTTCTCTTTGAAAACCTTTCTTTGAGCCTGGGCTCTACCACATCCTATGGCAGATGTTTGTGATAAACAAAAGACATAAACAGRCCCGTCAAACAGAGAGCTCAGGTTCCATCCTGGCCCATGCCTGGTTTCCTCCCTGAGAGCAGGGGCAGCGTGGTCCTGCTCCAGGGGGCTGCGGGAGTGGCCTTCAGGCCTGGAGGGGGCTGGCACCAGGCAGCCTGCTGTGACACTCATGCTGTGGCTGCTGCTTTGAGCCATTGTGGGCCCCAGTTGTGGCACCTGGAGGCCCTCTGCAGGTCACAGGTCCCCGCCCATCAAGCTGCCTGTGCACTCCGGCTCTCTTGGGACCAGCCACAGCATGCTCCTTGGTGCCAGGGCCTTCTGCCCTTGCCGTGGTCTGAGCACTCCTGGGAGGGCTGCCAAGGTCACGGACGCAGGCTCCAGGAGGTGTTCCTCAGATCAGGCTTGACTGAACTGTGTGCCCTCCTGACATGTCACTCCCTGCTCTGTGTGACATCCTGCCGGCTGAGCTGCTGTGCGCAGAGTGCAGAGCGAGCAGCCCCCTGCCCCATACCTGGCTCATTCCCTAGACCAGCTTTCCTCTGGGACTCTTCAGATGCTTGAACTCTCTCCTTTTCCTTTCTTTCTCCCCCCCCCCTTCACTTCTACCCTCCATCCCCTCCCTCTCCCCCCTCCCTCTCTCCCCTCCCCCCTCCCCCCTCCCTCCCTCCTGCAGTGCTGGGCCTTGTGTCCTAGGCAGCTGCTCTGCCCTGAGCCCCTCAGCCTGACTTCTCTGTCTCACCCCTTTCCTGTCCCTGCCAGGACACCTGCTTCCTGATGCCTCTCCCATTGTCCTGGTCCTGGGGCCCCTGAGTCCCTGCTCTCCCTCTCTGCAGGGAACCCAGCCAGCTCTGAGCAGACAGCCCCATGTTGGTCCCCTGGCCAGGCCATACCTGGCTCTGCCCCGCCCCCCGGGACTGGCCAAGCACAGGCCATTTCAGACAGAGGTGGGACCACACGGTGTGTCGGGAAGCTGTGCTTCCTCTGGTGGCTGGACCAGGGTAGGAGGGCAGGGCCTGGGCCGGGTCTGCGGGGCCTTCTAAGGTGTGTGCAGTTTATTTTACCAGCAAAAGGAAGTTTCCGACAGTGTGGGGTGGACATCACGAAGCCCCACCAGGTTACCCTGAGCYGGTGGATGGAAGGATTCAGCCCCTGTAACCTGCTGAGTCTGTGCCTCTGATGTGCTCGCAGCTACGTGAGCTCAGACAGCCTCCGGGTGGACACTCTGGAGGAGCAGTTCCGGGGGCACTTTGTGTCCATCAATCACCTCTTGCCAGATGACAAGGTGACCATGCTACACCACTCGGTGTACGTGAGGTAGGTGGCCCACGCTGGTGCTGAGTCCTCGTCTGGCTTTGTGAAGCTGGGCTCAGCTGCAGGAGCGAGTCTGCAGGGTGGCCATGGTGGTCAGGCTGGGCAGGTGCGGCAGCCGGGTGTAGGAGCCAGTACGGCCCAACAGAGAAAGGAAGGAAATGCAGTCGGGGAGTGACCTGTGTGACCGAGGCAGTGCTGTGCCTGTCACCAGCAGGGACTCCAGCTGTTTGGGAAATGGAAACAGGAAGAAAGGTAGGAAATAAGAAATCAAAAAGCAACTTGCTTACGAAGTCCCTCAACACCCTCACCTACTTTGCATGCTTCCCCACGGGGAAGGAGAACCAGGTGTCCTTGGCAACAAGTGGTCACCTGCAGGAGAGGGGGTTGCTTGCTGTCCCAGGTTGGACGGTGAGGGGAAGCCGCAGCCGGGTGTTCTGATCCACCCTCTCCTCCTGACACCTGGGACCACCCCCTGGGCTGCATGTCCTCTGTCTGAAAACAGGCTTTTCGCCTGTCCACCCTGGAATGAGCAGCACCTAGGGCCTCCCTCATGTCCCATGTCCTCAGCCTTGTGACACTAGCTTCTCTTGTATGGTGAGGCTGGGGCTCTAAAGGCAGAAAAGTTGCCAAGGTCTTGGGCTCCCCTTTCCCCTCATTATTGAGAAAGCAGATTCCTGGTCCCCACCAGTGTGGGGCCTGTGGGGCCTGTCTTCTTCCAGAGCATCTCACTGCTCCAGAGTCCTGTCTAAGGTGTGTAACCCAGGCTGAAAGAGTCCTGGACGGCCAGGTGTGCTGTCCCTGGGGGCCCTCTGTGTCCCCAAGGGCCAGGGTGTGGAAAACACGGGGTACAGACCCACAATGACACCAGGCATGTGCAGATGGTCTGTGTGTCCTCAGAGCCACGCGAGGCTTGGACACAGTAGCACGGGGACCACTTCACGATGCTCCAGGGTTAGAGGAGGTGTGCAGTCTGGCTCCCTGGTTTGCTTTTTCTTTAAAACATACACCACAATTGTAATTCAAGAGTAAGGCAAATTAGAGTTGATTTTTCTTTCTTTCTTTCATTTTGGAGACTGAACCCAGGGGCACTTAAACACTGAGGCCCAGGCCTCTTTATTTTTTATCTTGAGACAGAATTTCACTAAATTGCTTTGGGCCTTGCTAAGTTGCTGAGGCTGGCCTTAAACTTGTGATCCTCCTGCCTCAGCCTCTCGAGTTGCAGGAATTACAGTGTGGGACACCGCACATGGCCTGGTTTTCTTTTACATCAAGACTAAGTTAAAAAAATAAAAAAAGATGTCCATTTCATATGCCTCAGACATATATCTCAAAGCCTGCCATGTTTTTCCATTTCAGGGAGGGCTGTGCCTCGGGTCATGCAGTTACCTTGAAATGCACAGGTAAGAGCTTCAGATGGCAGAGGACCAAACAGGAGTCAGGGCTTGCAATGTCCCATCCTCCTCCTTCCCCTCCCACGACTGCTCTGGAGCCCTCCTTCCCAGGTGCCAGGTGGGAACTCTGTCCCTCCATCCTGGAGGAGGGGCCAGGGCCAGGCTCACCTGTCAAGTGTGGAGACAGGCCCAGGTGACTTCTTAGCAGTGGACAGGCCTAGGTCCCTGTGTACATCCTGAGAGCCTGGCTCACTGCCRCTCCCCCCTTGAGCACACACAGGCTGCCTAGGCCCAGGGGAGCTGCTGCTGGCTCCCGGCAGAAGGCAGAGTTCCCCTGGCTGGGGTCTGACACGGTCCTCCTAGCAGTGCGCATCTGAGGACCTCTGTGAGCTCTAGGTGGTGGCAGCAATGTGGGGAGGAGCAAGTCTGGGTGGCGACTCCGTTGGCCCCAGAAAAGCCTGTGGATCTCCCCAGCCCGCTCTCTCCCTCCACAGTCTGTGGCCTGAGAACAGGATACAGCCCACGCATCGTGGGCGGAAACGTGTCCTCGCTGGCACAGTGGCCCTGGCAGGTCAGCCTTCAGTTCCAGGGGTACCACTTGTGTGGGGGCTCCGTCATCACCCCCCTGTGGATCGTCACTGCTGCACACTGTGTCTACGAGTGAGTGGCCTGGCCTCCTGGTCTTCCCTGACCTCTGTCCTGTCCTGGGTCAGGTGGGGTGGGCTGAGCTGGGTGGTGAGCAGACAGACCAGTCACCACGAAGCCTTGTCCAGGTGGAGGGTTCCTGTCCTCCCCACCAAGGACCCACCATCACTGACTGGGAGGGACTGGCGACTCAGGCTCATTTGAAGAGCTGCAGACCTGCAGCTCATGCAGGAAAGGTAGAAAGAGGAGGAAGCCCAGCAGGAGGAGAGCCCCTGAACAAAGGCCCTAGAGCTTCGAGTAGCTAATTCCATCCACAGACTGTGTTCTAACTGCCACGTGAGACAGTGCAGCATGGGGTGGGGACAGGGTGCAGGACACCGAGTGCCCCAGAGCAGTTTCTCTCAGGAGTCTAGAGGGCAAGAAAACCACAGAAAAGATTTCCCAATGCAATGACTAATCTCCTGCTATTTTTACCTCCTGCTTCGGTTGCTGTGGGATGAAGACTAGCCCCTGATAGGTCCCTTGCAGTAAGCAAAGCCGAGACTAGTTCTCAAATGCAGAGAATCCTCAGTGGTGCAGAGTGAGGCCCATCTAGGATATACCCAGGCTGCGGGCCTGATTTCTGCAGGGCATAAGAGCGTGGTCAGATGCCAGGCACAAATGAGCAGGGTGCTAGACCATCTCTTGCTTGACGACATCTCCCACATCTCCTGGGCCCTCAGGACACTGAGATCAATGGGTGGCATGATTGGGTTTTTCCTGTGCTTCTCCTCTGGGTCTGTTCATTTCAGCCTATACCTCCCCAAGTCATGGACCATCCAAGTGGGTCTGGTTTCTCTGCTGGACAGTCCAGAGCCCTCCCATTTGGTGGAAAAGATCATCTACCACAGCAAGTACAAGCCAAAGAGGCTGGGCCACGACATTGCTCTGATGAAGCTGGCGAGGCCTCTCACCTTCAGCGGTGCGTCTGGGTTTCTGTCATTCCATTGCTCTTCATTTGTTTCGAGAGAATTTGTGATTGCTTGTTGAATCACTTTTATGAAAGCTGCCTCATCTTTATCAGACCATTCCAGTGTCTGATTTATGTGTGTGTTTGCATGACTTGGTTGTCTTTTCACAGTTCTTGGCATAAATAATGTTCACTTATGTCCTGGACAATATGGCCATTATGTTAGGAGACTACACAAATTTTCAATTTTAGCAGACTGTCCCTTTTTTTAGATTTCGTCTGCAGCCTGGCCGTGTTTCCCATGCTGATTTAGTTTCAGGGACTTCCTGGTGCGACTCTAATCTCTGTGGACTGTTTGGTGCCATCTGGTGGCAGAAAGCTTCTTCAGGTCAGGGCAACTGATGCCTCTAGGTGGTGGAAGAGAGTCACCTTCTGCAGGGACAGAGCATACTTGCCTGTCCAGGAGCTTGCTGTGTGAGGTCCTCTGCCTGGAGCCTCTAGGGAGAGGAACAGGATCCCAGTCTCTAAGAGGCAGAGCTGCCCGGTGGGTGTGGCAGGACCTGCCACCTACTTACCAGCGGCAAGGTACTAGGCATCCTCAGCTCCTTGGAAATTCTCAAAAGAGTTCTCATCCTACCAGTTACGGAGTTCTGCAGGCTCCAAAAAGCCCTATTGCTTTGAGTCAAGTCCAGCCTCTGGGACATTTTGAAAATGATGGAAAGGACACCCCTGATAGAACTCTCAAGGGTGTTGGGTCAGAGCCTCCCCAGTAAATCCCCTTGCCAAGGCCATGGGTGCTCGGAGGGCGGGTGGACTCCCCTCTCTGACACAGGAGCTGCACGGAGCAGCCGAGTCTGCCCACAGTGGCATCTGTGTGCCCCCTTGAGCCTACAGGACACGGGGAAAGGAATGTTTCTAGAGTCAAAGGGAATTGTTTGCTACACACCGAGACACATCTCCTCATTCCTTTTTAGCCTTTCCATTATTGTCCCACCCAGAGAAGCACATCTTGGGATACACATGCAAGCCCTGGGCACTTGGGCACTGTTCCTATGGGTGGCACAGCCTCACATGCAGGCAAGCTTGCTGCCACGAGACACATCAGGAGTGGCAGGAATGCCCACAACGTGGTGATCGCTAAGCAAAGTACCTACCCGAGCTCCTGACCAGGGGGCCCAACTCCACCTGCTGCCTGTTTGGGGAAATAAAACCGGCCTGGAGCATGGCCCCACTGCTGACCAGCACCAGTGGCTACTTCCATGCTCCAGAGGCAGAGCGGAGCCATAGCGACAGACACTGCTCAGCCCTCGGAGCCTGAACGACTTACTGTTCACAGCAAAGCCCTGCTGCCCCTCTAGGCCCACATGCTCGCCACTGTCCAGTTTGGGAGCTCTGGGTGGTGGGTGGGGTGGGCCCCCTACTCTGGGCTAGTGGTTTCCTCTGACCGGTGCTTCACTGACCCGAGCCATTTCCCCCTCTTCAAACAGAGATGATCCAACCAGTTTGTCTGCCCAACTCTGAGGAGAACTTTCCTGATGGAAAAGTGTGCTGGACGTCCGGATGGGGGGCCACGGAGGACGGAGGTCAGTGGTCTGGAATCGGATTCTGAGCTGAGGAGCTCAGAACTTTGGGACTGGGAAGGGGCTCCTCCAGGGTCCCCATGTGATGTCCCCGTGGGGTGCAGAGGGCTCCCAGCTGCGGGTACATGCACTCCCCCTGCTGCGTGGCTGTGGGTCCCGAGACATGGTGCCACCTGTCTGAGGACTACACGAGGTGCTGAGGTTCTCAGGGGAGAAATGAGACTCCAGGGAGAACATCATCAGGGCCCCCGCCTGCCCCTCCACCTCCCACCCGTTAACTAACATGTGGAGCCCGCCTGGAAGAGACTCGGAGCAGTCAGAGATGGGTATCAGGTGGAGAAGTTGTGCCTGTGGGACTTTGGAAAGGTGTGATATTTCATCTTACAAAGGTCAAGTAGAAAGAGCCACCTGATGGGATCTTATTGCTCTGATAACAGCAGAAGTAGCCATGCAGACAATGCAAGCAGCAGATGAATAAACCCAGCCTCTGTCTTCAGAAGAGTGGGGTGCCTGTGTGGTCACGGCAGGGTCTCCGTCAACTGCTCCTTGTTAGGAGGAGTGGTGTTGGTTTCCCGTGGTTGCCATGGCAAATGGCTGCAATCCACTGGCTTAAAACTGCAGAAACGGAACGTCCCACATTTCTGGAGGCCAGAAGTCAGAGGTCAGGTGTGGGCAGGCCTGCTTCCTCCCCAGGCTCTGCAGGGAAATTTGCTCCAGGCGTCTCCTGAGGGTCTGGTGGCACCCATCGCCCTCTGTGTTCCTTGGCTTATGGATGTGTCACTCCAGGTTCAGTCTCCATCTCCACGAGGTGTTCTCGTGTTGCTGTGCCTCAGATCTCCTTCTCCTTTGTCCTGTAAGGACTCCAGTCACTAGGTCTAGGGCCTGCCTGAGTGCAGGATGATCTCGCCTTGAGATTCTTCCCTTCTTTACATTTGCAAACACTGAGTTCCAAATAGCGTTGGATTTCATGGTTGCATGTAGTATGTGGGGTGGCCCAATTCAACCAAGGGCAGCAAGCTCCCTGTTCTCGTTAGACAGCTGTGAGCTGAGTCGCCCTCTGGAAGGCATGCGGGAGCCTACCAGGTCCAGCTCCATCAGAACCAGCCTCTGCTTTGTGGAGCTGAGCAGGGAAAGCAAACCATGCCCACTCTCTCCTGGGAGTGCTCACTCAAGACCACCCAGCCCACCAGAAGGATTGAATCACAGGGGACTGGGAAGAGGAGGGGCTGCAGGAGAGCCCCCTTCTCCCTGGTGCATCTGCTCAGTTTCCCACCAAGCCCGCCTCTCTCCCTGCCAGGCCCTGCCCCAGGGGCTTGCCCCCACCGCCTGTGTGCAGGAAGCTCCTCCCACACCAGAGCTCTGTGCAGGGAGCTCCTCCTGCACCCAGAGCTGTGTGCACGGAGCTCTGTGTGTCTGCCTGCTCCTTCCAGCAGCCCCGAGGGGGTGCTATCACTGTGCTCAGGTGTGGGTGAGGACACAGGCAGAAGGGAGGGCACCCCTTGCCCAGGTTCTCACAACCAGCTGGCCCAGGGCCTGGGGTCCACCTTCAGCCTCCCACCCTGCCCTTGGCCAGGGCCATCTTGAAGAATCAGGAGTACCCGGAGAAGAGTACTGGACCCCGTGGAATCTCTGTGGGGTGGGTGGAGATGGCTCCTCTGCCGGACAGCAGCACCAGGCAGTCCCACTGAGGGTGAGATGGGGGGAGGACCTGGGCCGACAGAGAACGCAGGCGACGCTCACTTGTGCACTTACGATGGGGACTTTTATGGGTGTGTATGATTACACATATGGTGGGATTTCTTGTTTCATGTTTGCACATGAACATAATACAGCCATGTCATTTGGTCAGTTAAGATGTGGGTTTTGAGGAGCACAGACCCTCACACCCCTGCTTGTCTGCTAGGGGTGGAGGGGAAGGACCCTCATGCCTCAGGACTCCACAGTGAAAAGGCAAGTTCTCGTGGAGGGGTCCACCCCTGTCAGTGATCAGGCAGACGCGCCTCAGGGTATTGGTCTTCCGTGGCTGCTGCAAAAAACGATCCCCAACTTAGTGGCTTAAAATGAGAAACTTATCACCTGACAATGATGGAGGTCAGGAGCCCAGAGTTGGTCTCAGTGGGCTGAAGAGTGTTGGTGGCCTGGCGCCCTCTGGAGGCTTGGGGACAATCTGCTCCTCCTTCTCCTCCTGGGCTCTGCCCTTGCTCCAGGGCCAGGAGCTCAGTGCTCTCCAGCCTCTCCCTGGTCCTGACCTCTGCGTCAGTCACCACACTCCTCTGAGTCTGTTAAGCCCTGTGACTTCACTGAGTTCACCCACCTAATCCAGATGGTGTCATGGTGCATACCTGGGTCACACCTGCCAGGTCCCTTTTGTCAGGTGTGGTGACTAGTCACAGGCTCCAGGGACTGAGATGGGCATGTTCTTGGAGGGCATTTTTCTGCTGACCACTGCAGGGCTCTGCCCAGATGCTGTAGGTGACCTTCATGAATCTCAGTTTCCTTCCTGGAACCTGGACTGGCTGGTGTGTCGGGAGCCTGGCCCACGACAGGCCCTGGGGTGGGGGGACCCTGGCTCAGTTGCCCCGTGTCCTCCTTCACTCCAGGCTCCTTAGGGAAATGAGTGACCTTGACTTGCCGCCCACTCAGGAGGGGGTGAGGCTCTAGGCATGGGATGTCCACAGCAGGTGAGTCTGCTGGCCACCCACGGGCCCTGGCCACGACCACCGTTGCAGCTGGGCAGCCTGCCCCTCGTGCCTCACCACCCAAGTCCCCAGCACACACCCTCTGCCTCTGTGCTGGGCCTCCTCCTCCCTGGACATTCCCTTCTTGCTTTGAAGCAGGTGACGCGTCCCCTGTCCTGAACCATGCAGCTGTCCCCTTGATTTCCAACAAGCTCTGTAACCACAGGGATGTCTACGGAGGCATCATCTCCCCTTCCATGCTCTGTGCTGGCTACCTGAAAGGTGGTGTCGACAGCTGCCAGGTAAGGGCTCCCGGCGGCCCTGGGGTCGGGGCAGCGGGCCAGGGTCCAGGAGTGACCCAGCACGTGAAACAGGCCACCACCAGCCCTGTGATTGAACGAAAAGCAAATTTACACAGCGTGGGGAAGAAATTTGCTTAAGATATTTGCCTTTCCTGGCGGCAGGGGCTGGTGTTTACCCAGTGCTCTGGGTCTGCAAGGCCGCTGGACTGGGGACGGCCTTTCCCTCCTTCCCCCAGCCCAGTTCTGTGTGTGTGAGGGGCTAATAGAGAGGGAGGCAGGTGGGTGCCAGTGAACCCGGGCCCCCCAAAGACACAGTGGGCAGGACTCTGATCCTGCCTGGTGGACCACAGGACACTGAGGGTCTGGCCCCGGCAGACTTCCCTCCAGAGCTCCCTTGGCCACCCTTGACCCTCATGGGCTCAGTATCTGAGACCTGGCGGGAGACACAGTGGGAGGGAACCTGCCCCAGTGGGGCCTCGGGTCCATGCTCTTGGAATGCCAGCGTGTGTTCCAGAAGGGCTGGTGGGGAACACAGAGCCATCCTTCTGCGGCGCCCGTCAGGCTGTAAGGGGGGAATCGTGTGCCATGGCCAGGGCACCCGTGACTGTGCTGTTCCCTTGACTTTCGCCTCCTTCCTGCCATCCAGGGAGACAGTGGGGGGCCCCTGGTGTGCCAGGAGCGCAGGCTGTGGAAGCTGGTGGGGGCCACGAGCTTCGGCATCGGCTGTGCCGAGGTGAACAAGCCCGGGGTTTACACCCGCATCACCTCCTTCCTGGACTGGATTCACGAGCAGATGGAGGTGGGTGCCGGGTTCCCCCGTGGCCCAGCTGTGCTATAGAGAGCCAGAGGAGCCAGTGGCTACTGACTCAGCGAGCGGTGATTTGGTGGCTTCAGGGCATCAGTCCTCTAGCATGGCTGATCCTTGGGCGACGCCATTTGTAGGTGTGGTCCTGGCACACCGAGGAGGGACCCCAGCTGGGACGAGAAGAATGGAACTGCTTTACCCAGCAGGGCAAAGGGCAGTCCCAAAGGAGGGGTGGGGCCAAGTCAGGTGTGCCGTGTGCACCCACAGAGGGTGGGTGGTGGGGTGACCGTGGACACCATGGAATTGGCCACAGAGGGCCTTGGACGCTCCCTACAGGACTGCCCCTTGCTGGGAGCCAGGATGGAATGGAGATCTCCAGTGTGCAGGGCCCAGGCTGTGCTTCTTGGGGGGTCTGCCTGGGAGAGAAGTGGGAAGGGCCTGCAGGGGAGCCCTGGGCAGTAAGTGGCTCGTCAGGCCCTGGGCAGGCAGGCAGAGCCCTGAGTCTCCAGGCCGCTGAGACTTGCTGGGCACCAGGGATGGGAATTTCCAGTGAACACAGGCCCTGCTGTGATGGTAGAAGGTGGGGGTGACCCCAGCCCTCCAGAGCAGGCCGGGAGGCAGGGAGGCGAGGCCAAGCCGTGGCCTCCAGGGCACTTGGCAAATATTTGCTGACTTGGCCTCAGACTGAGTCTCATATTACTCTTGGGATCAGTTTTGAAGACCTGACTCCTAATTCAGGTTAAATTTCCATAGCACAGAATGAACCATCTTAAAGTGAACAGTACCATGTATTTCTGACATTGACGGTGTCGTGTGTCCTCTAGGTCACACAGCATTGTCATCGTCCCCAAGTGAACCTGGTCCCCTTTTAACAGCCCTCCCCACTTCTCCAGCCAAGTACCCACCACTCTGCTTCCCATCCCTGTGGGTCAAAGACCATTTCAAAATGCTCTTCGCATTTGAAATAATCGAGGAAGAGAGGACACCCAACGCCTAGTGTGCCTCAGGCGTGGACCCCTGGTTTTGCCTCTTGATTTTGTTTTTCCGCTTCGAATGAGAAGATGCCTGGTTCCCAGGGCTCAAGGGGAGGCCCACGACTGGTTCTGGTCCCAGCACCTCTGCTCTGTGGCAAGGGCCTGTGAGCAGCTTGCCGTCTCCCCACAGGGCATGTGAGGCCTTCGGAGCCTTGTCCCGGGTGGCAGACACTATGACCCTCCTTGCATGACGGGGAGGAAACCTGCTCAGGGCTTCCGAATCATAAAGGGGGCGAGAATGAGTCTAAGCAGATCCCAGACTCTCACCCAGTGCGGCTCTGCACAGTGGAACCACCAGATCTCCAACTTGGGATGCAGAAGACCCTCCCTGTCCTGCTGTCTGCAGGACCTCCTCCACACAGTCTGCCTGGGGGTCTGGGCTGAGGACCTGGTGATCTGTGTGCACAGGGTGTTCGGGGGCCCTCTGAGAAACGCCGGTCCCTGTGCTTTGGCTCCCTGAAAGAATAAGTTCTCACCACTCTCAGGAAGCAGCCTGCTCTCTGAGGAGTGGCTGGCAGGTGCCTTTGACACTCTCTGTGGGGCATCGTAGTCATCTGCCACCTCTGACCACGGAGTCTGCAGGAGATGTCCCTGGTTGTGGACCTGATTTGGGATCACTCCTCTGACATCCTGGAGGGACTTAGAAGTGGCTTCCCCTCCCCTGCGTGGTCTCGGAGGCGTTCGCTGTCCTGCTTGAGCTCCGTCATGGGCCCTTCCAGCACTGGCCTGGTTTGGCAAACTGTCCTGTCAGTCACAGGGTCGCTGTCACACTGTCTTCTGTAGCCTGCTGGGTCACAAAGCCAACTGTTCTGACTCCAGCCTGAACTTTGGAACACCGTGCTAAGTCCTAGGTTCCAGGGGAGGGCGTGGGCTTCTCTGGGCAGTGAGGAGAAACAGGCAGCCTTGCTGGGCGTCGGGTTTCACACACAGCCGCAGCCTGCTCCCTTGAGGCCAGGCTTGTCCTCACTGGTCATGGAGACACTCGTCAATGACGATGCTGACCCTCTGTTTTTCCCTCCTAGAGGGACCTGCAGACTTGAAGACTGGGGGACATGCTGCCACCAGCGCTCTCGAGGGAGCCGGCTCCATCCTTCCCTGGACTCCTGTGTGGGTACATTGGACTGAGCAGGTGCCTCCAGGGTTCTGCTCAAGGCATGAAGAGCAGAGCCCCAGGGAGGCGCCCTCCTGGTACTCTTCCAATGCCGCGGCCCGGGGCTTTGGGCTGAAGTGAACTTGAAGCTCCTTATTGCCTCCCACTAGGCACAGAAGCAGGCTGTCCCCAGGCGCAGCCTTTCCCACCAGCCCAGGGCTCTTCTGTGCAGGGTCGTGCAGAGCACCATGGCCACTTGGCCACACACGGGGACCCAGGGCCCTGAAAGCCATCCCTCCCTGTAGATGCAGCTCTTCCCATGTGTCCCTCTAGAGACCAGAACCGTGTCCTCATAGCCCGGTGCTTGGCTCCTCATTGGCCTCTGGCTTCCTGAGAACCCTGCATCTCGCTCTTGGCTGAGTGCCGACGACCCGTGTAGCCGGAAGTCCTGAGACCGGAGCCTCTTCTTTGATCTCTTCTGTGCCTGTTGTGCAGTTTGCGTTTTCTGTTGGAGCAGGTTTCTTAGCAGGTTCCTGTTGCCTCATATTATAGTACAAGACTCACAAGCAAAGTCAGAAGAGATGAAGTCCTGGGTAGAAAGGGGCCACCAGCTCCAACCCAGGGGCACCAAAAACAAGAAGAGTAGATGGCCACAGGTCAACTCCATGGAGTCTGTTCATCTTCCGCACACCTACCCCTCCCAGCTGATCCCCCTGCCCTGAGTCCCATGTCACATAGTAACAGAGGAGGGTCACTTGGTGAGTCTCACTGGCCACTGGTGCTTGTCACAAATTAAGTCATCAGAATCTGAATCAGTCGCTTTGCATGTGGCAGTGGTCAACAAGGTCAGTGAGTTTAAAAGAGAGCAGGATGTGATCAGGTGCCTGGGGAGGAGCGGCTCCAGGAAACGTGCGTGCGTGTGTGTGTGTGTGTGTGTGTGTGTGTGTGTGTGCACGTGTGTGTTGAGGACAGATGAAGTACAAGAGCTAGGGCAAACTGGCTGGCAGTGGCTGAATTTGGATCTCCCCACCACACCAGAGCCATGGACAGATTTCCACACAGTTCAGCCCTTGTGCTCGGGGAACACTGCGAGACCCTCATGGATGCCTGAGGCGGGGGTAGTTCTGAACTCTCTCCATATCATGTTTTCCCTATATATACACACACATCTATGGTAAAGTTTAAATTAGTCATAGGAAAAGATTAAAAGTAATAACTAATGATAAAATAGAGCAATTCTGAGAATTGGTGTGGATGTGGCCTCTCTCTTTCAAAATATCTTTTGATATTTTACCTTTGCTTGAAGGAAGCTCCTCATGGCTTCTCTTTGGCATACCCAAACTGCCAGCATCACTTCTCTTGAACCTGGGGACCATGACTAAGTAAAATAAGGGTCACTTGGGCATAACACTGCTCTATCATGACAGCTAATCTTATAGTTGAGATGATTCTAAGTGACTAACAGGTGGGTGGTATATACAGTGTGGATACACTGCACAAAGAAATGACTCACATCCTGGGCAGGATGAAGCAGAATGGCATGATATTTCATCACACTGCTCATAATGGTGTGTCATTTAAAACTTACTAATTGTTTATTTCTGGAATTTGCCACTTCGTAGTATCGGACTATGACTGAGTTTGTGTAATTGAAACTTTGTAAAGAGGAACCTTGAGTAAGAGGGGAACTCTGTAATAGAAAATGTCCAGCCCAGTTTTACATTAAGTCTTTTTGCCCATCTGTCTTTGGAAACAGCAAATATCCACAGAGTGAAGGGGAAAGACTTCCTGTGCACCATCTTGCTGGAGAAACAAGTTTCTACTCTGTTGTGGCTTCTGCCTTCTCTAACTGCTGCCTAATTTTGTTAGGAGATGTCTGGCAGCTGACGAAAGACACTGGGTAATGCAGACAGGAAATGAACCCGCGGGTGCTGGGGCCTGAGCCTGTTCTGTGCACATTGCATGTTTGCCTGCCTTATTTTCACAAAGGTTCAGTGAGAGAGGGACTGTATGATTCTCTTCCGTGGATGAGATGATGTGAGAAGTGCAGCACTCTCCCAGGGTCCCATGGAGGGCCAGTGGTGTATCTGGGATTTGGAGTAGCTCATCATACTACAGGAAAGAAAGCAAGACGGAGTCAGACACTTTGGCCTTTGAGGCAGAAGTTTCTTGTGCCAGCTGTTTGGAGCCATTGAGACATGTTAGTGAATCCAAGTCCTGATCAACTCTCCTCCTCCAAGGAGGTATTTGCTTCCACTGCTGCAGCTTAGGCCATTCTGGTGCCTGAGAGCCAGGCCAGGAGGGACAGTCATGGCAACAGCCCTCTTGCCTGCAGCCATCTCCAGAGAAATGGCTGGAGGATACACCAGAGACCAAGAGGGCTGCCCGTGGCTGCCTGGGACCTGAGAGCCAGCTGTGGACATTCCTGTCCTGAGATGGTGAATGTCCCCATAGCCATCCAGGTCAGAGCCACCAGAAACAGCAATCTCAATGGTATTTCCTATAATGTTAACGTTTAACAAGAATTATAGAAGACCCAACAACAGCCAGGCGAGGTGGCATTCACCTGAAATCCCAGTGACTCTGGAGATTGAGGCCGGAGGATGCAAGTTCAAGGCCAACCTGGGCAACTTAGTGAGACCCTGTCTCTGTCACTGGGAAACTTAGTGAGACCCTGAATCAATCAATCAATAAATAAATAATAAATAAATAAAATAAAAAGGGCTGGGAATGTAGCTCAGTGGTAGAACAATCTGGTCAAATGCTCAGAACCACAAAAAAGGAGAAGGAGAAGAACTAACAACATTCTAGAAAAGAGTGGGGGAAAAAAGTCTGGGGAAAAGAGTGTTAAAAATTGGCCAATAGTTTATTTGCTTTTTAATTTAATTTAATTTTATTTGTTTGGTCAACAATTTAAACATCATAGTTGGCCATAAAAACCTGAATGCTGGCCTTCCTCCTGGTACAGAAGGTGCCGGTCTGAATTGGGGACACCCTGATGACTGGGACCTCCAGGTCTCCTCATCTGAAGCAGGAGTGTCGGTCACAGATGCAGGGCAAAGCCCCAAAGCCCCAAAGAATGGAGAATCCCGGCCTCAGACACACTGGCCTTCAGATAGGCAGGATTAACTTCTGAGGACCAGCCTCAGCCACGGGGAGGCGGAAGGGACTGAGCCCAGGGGATGGGAAGCCCAGCCAGGGCCCAAAGAATAAAGCTTCTGTTGTGCAGATCTCCAACATCCACTCTGATCAGCCCGTTTAGACGGAGTCGACAGAGTCCCCTCTGGGCCACTGTCCCCGTCAGCCTTGGCCTGCTGCTCGGCTGGAATGTTCCCTGGGTGACAGGGTCTCAGGGGAGCTGGGCCTGCGGAGCCGACTGACCACGCAGAGGCAGATTCTTCAGCTTGCTGCCTCATTTGTCTCCTTGGGGGAATGGTCTTCGGGGAGTAGTCGGGTTCCCCCTGAACTTTGTGGCTCCTCTCTTTCCTCATGATACCTGTGTGTGTGTGCACAGACCTGTTGGTGTGTGTGCATGTATTGGCACTCCCATGGCAGCATGGCCACTAGCTCATGAGTCACTCACTCCACACTGAGACTCAACTGAGAGCGAAGCTGTTCCATTCTCCCATGCTCCTGGCACCAGGCTAGAGTCCAGGACCCATAGGAAGCCCAGGAGCTTGGAGACATGGATGAACAGCCACCGCAAAACAAGCCACCACTCCATGGATTGTCCAAGTGCTGCTGCTTCGCATGCCGGCACACTTCTCTCTTGGAAACAGGCGAGACTCGGCCGAAGGCAACATAAATTAGTAACATGATTGGTTTCTCCACTTACAAGTGCAGAACACACTGGAGGTGAGGAGGTGGAGCCCTGCCAATCTCTGGGTCCCCCTGGGCTCTGGTCTGCTTTAGGGTGATCAATCAGAAACACAGGGATCCAAGGTCCAGTTCAAAGAATGGTCAAAATACTATCCCAGCTGGCGGGAAGCTGCAACAGGAGGCTTCCTTCCGAGGAACAAGGGGAAAGCAGGGGTGGTGTTGGGAGCTGCTCTCACACTGGGGTCGGGGTCGGGTGCGTGCTGGGCTCTCAGTGGCATTTTCTCCCTTCATCTGGGTGCCACGCAGAGGCCCCACCCTCCTCCTGCCTTGACAAGGAGCTGGCTGATAGGGCCCAGCTGTGCAGGCAAGCTGGGCCTCCTGTCCCCTCCTCACCTGCCTCGGCCACTTGCTGACCCCTCGTTCTGCTGGGGGTCAAGGGTGGGAGGATGTAGTCCCTGTACCTGCAGTTGCCCCTCTTCTGGCTCCCCTGGCCTGGAGTGGCCCGGCAGGCAGGGTGGGGCAGGAGCTGCTGATGTTGGAACATTTTAATGTCGATGATGTTAAAATGTAGGTGCATTCCACTCGTGTGGACCAGCAGGTGTGCTGCCACGCACCTCTTGCAGAACAAACCTCTGAACTAGGCTCGCTTTTGCCTGTTAGGACCTGACCTGTCAACTCCGATAGGTATGCAGAGACATGTATTTGTGGTTCTGATTTGGATTTCCTGGTGGCTAACATCTTTTCATGAGATTGCTGCCATCCTCTTTAGTGAAACATCTCTGTGCTCTTGGCCCATTTTTTAAGCTGATTGTTTTCTACTGTTGCATTTTGTTGCATCTTTTTATATTCTGGAACAAATCCTTTGCCAGATGTGTAGCTTGTGAATATTTTCTCCCAGTCTGCAGGCTGTCTTTCTGTCCCTGTCCACTGGGCTTTCCTAGAGCCAGAGGATGAACTTTGGTGTGGTTCCGTTGGCGTTTTCCTTGTACATCTGGTGTTCAGAGTGCCAACTTGAAGAACCCTTTGCTCAGTTCTAGGTTCTCAAAGTTTGTTTTTGTTTCCACATTTTTTACATGGGTGCCTTGTAGTCGTGCATAACGATGGGGTTTGTGGTTACATGTTCTGTAAAGATTTTTGCCTATTTTTCTCAAGGTTCTATATTTTATTATATCTCAGTCTTGATTCTATGATGGATCTGAGTTTCTTATCAGGTGTTTCAGCGCCATTTGGTGAAAAGCTTTCCTTCTTCCACTGAATTAGTTTTGCTCCTTTGCCCAAATCAGCTGGGTGTGTTTGTGTGAGTCTGTTTCCTAGTTCTCTCTTTTGTTTGTTGATCTGTGTGTCTATCCATCTGCCTCGACCACACTGTCACTCACTGTCCCTAAAGCAGTGAGCCTACATGTCCTGGGTGGGGTTCTTCCCACTGACCTTCTTGTTCAAGCCTGTCTTGGTTGTTCCGGGGCCTGCGTCTTCCATATCAGCTCTGGAGTGAGCTTGTGTGTGTCTCTAGGAAACCTGGCTGGGCTTCTCCAGGAGCTGCTCTCCCCTGTGGCCAAGCCAGGGGACGGACTCTGGGCCTGCCTTCCCAGGCACAGACATGGAGCGTCTCTGCATTTTCCAGGACGTCTGGCTTCTTCCCTCAGAACCTCGGCGTTTCCAGCATAGGATCTTGTCCACGTTAAATGTGGCCCATTTTTTGAGTGACTGTAAATGGCAGTTACAGTGTTTCTGATGTTAAATTCTGCGTATTCGGTGATAGTGCACAGAAGTGTGGGTGCTTTGGTGTGGGGCCTTGTATCTGGGCTCCTTGCTGGTTTTCTCAGGAGTCTCTGGGATTCTTTTGTTGTGTTTGCAGATTCATTGGGGTTATTTCATTTTAGAGGCTGGGTGGAGGCCAGCGCCTCCCGCAGACTAATCCTGCCCTACCTCAGGCTGCAGCCCGTCCTCCCCGGGACTTACCTGTCCTGCAGATCACCCATCTGCACACGGGGGGCTCCATTTCTTCCCTGCTCATCTCTGCATTTCCTCTCTGCCCTTTGCCTGGTTTCAGGCCCATGTTGAATGAGACCTGGCTTCCTGGCCGTACTCCCAGCCCTAGGGCAGACGTGGCCAGTCCTAAGCAGGATGTTAGGTTTGTAGACGTTCTTTCCCAAGTCAAGGAACACCCTCTGCTACTAACTTGCTAAGACTTTGTAAAAATTATTATGAATAGATGCTGGATTTTGTCAGTTATTTTCCACATGAGCTTTGTCTTCTGTGTCTTGCTGGTGTGATAGATTCCATTCATGACCCCCTAATGTCGAACCAGTCCTGCACGGTAGCAATGA